TAAAGTCAGTTTCATACCTTTTATACTTATACACACCTCATGTTCATAGTTTTATCCCATCATCTGCTACTAGAGCTCTCTTTCTTCTCCCTAACCCTTTTCGGCAATAGTTTATGTACCTGGCGCATTATAGCCTTAGATGCTTTTGCGCCACAAAAACCCAATCCAACCCAACTAAAAATAAGAACAAAAAATTATATTTCTCACCACGAAGGAGTGCCGCTACACATCTTTGGTAATATTTGAACACATTTTTCTCTACCTGCAATTTCAAGGTTGGTTGGTTGTATTGTTTGCCAGACGTGACATTTGCCTCACTCACGGTGGGCACGTTTCACGGGCCTGGGTTATTGCAGGTTGATGAGGGTGAATGCGGGGAAAGGGAAGGGAAAATATGGTGATGAAGGGGTCCGGGGATGACGAGGGAAGCGTTAGCAAAATAATGACTAAACACGTTTCGCGGGCGAAAAAAAAATGATTAGGGCCGTTAAGACGAACTGTGACATATGTTCAAACAATGCTGTACACGACAGAACCCCAGAGCGCGCACCAGCAAGCACAAAATAAATAATGAGAGTACTTATATCGACCTAACTATACTTCGTTTCACCCCACGTGCGAGTGAAGGCAAAGCTGGAAGCGCGAGCACGTATGCTCCGCGCGCTCAGGCTTTGCTCGAGCACGCGAGCTGAGGAGAAGCGCTAAAAGCGCTGGTCTTGTGCTCTCAGCCCCGGCCTTGCCCGCAGATAAGGCGAAACGAAGTATAGGCTACCGTTCTAAAGTTTCTTACACGTCACAGTCACAGTCTTGAGAGTCGTTCGCATGCGCCTAAAAAACAAACACAAATTTTCTCAGCCGCATGCACGTGGAAGTTGGTGCCTTTGGAAATAATGTAGCTTCGAGCGTGAAAGGAATGTCCAGCCCTCTCGGGCAGTTCAAGAATTCAATTCGTTCGGATGCGTAGTGTTCGCACTTAAAAAAATATGTGTTCAATTGTCTCTTGTTGGTCACAGTGTTGGCAATTAGGGCTGGCCGCTTTTCCAATCCGGCACAAGTTAACGTTTGTATAAGCGGAATCTGATCTAAGACGGTGAAGAAGGGAAGCAAACTTGCGTGTTAAGCCCCGCGTACATGCTAGGGGAGCCGGGCCATGCGCTGCAATTCTTGAAACCGGATGTCTATGCTGTATCCAGGTTTGGATTGCTATTTTTGAGTCAGTCTGGGTCGGAAGCTGTAAAGTAGCAGTAGGTAGGAGCAGAGCGTTGGAAGCCAGTTGGTCCGCCTTTTCATTGCCAAGAATTCCGACATGTGAAGGTATCCATTGCACTCGAATGTTACAGCCTTGGAAAACAAGTAGACGTCCCAAGTTAAATATCTCACGAGTCATGTTGACATTAATGCTTCTGCCACTTTGAATGCTTTGCACTGCAGACTGGGAGTCCGTTGCGAGCAGCCACTTTTCTGGTGGCCTTTTCAAGATATAAAGAAGAGCTGCATGAATTCCACAAAGCTCGGCCGTAGTCGATGGAACAGCGTGATCAAGCCGTCCTGACCAAGAATGGTGTTCTGATGGGATATGGTATGCCGCAGACGTGGAATCGTTAATGAGATTAACAGAGCCATCAATGAATATGATCTTAAATGAAGCGTGGCGGGACGCCAGGACGTCTTCCGTCAAGGCGCGGCTGACCAGCGAGGAATGCTGTGATTTTCCATGAGAGCCAGGGATGTCATCATATATGGTGAATGGATGCTCACTCCACGGTGAATCGGCTGGAGAACGCTGAACAGCTGGTGTAGATCCGAGCGCCTCTATCAAAGTGTTGCAGTGTCTGCCATAATGAGAACAATGCCGCCGTTGGATATCCTCGTAAAGAGAACCACCGCTGCTCGACTGGGCGAGTCAAACCAGATGGCGAAGAGCCCGTTCCTTAGCGTGCAGAGATACTGGCATTTCCTGGGCCTCAATCCACGTTGCCTCTATTTGAGAGTAAGAGGGGAGTCCTAGGGCCATCCTTAGTCCAGCGCGATGAAGTCGTTCCAGCTGATCCCACAGAGAGCGAGTAGGGGGCAAGTACGGCGCGACATAAAGAATCCGAGACAGGTTCAGCGCTCGATGCACGTTAGTTAGGGCTCGAGGAGTTGGTCCCCAATCAAGGCCACGAAGCCTACGAATAAGAGAGGTTGTGATCGTGCTCTGCCGTACAAGAGTAGTTACGTGGCGACGCCAGCAGAGCCACGAGTCGAGATCAACGCCCAGATAACGGTAGTTTCGCACACGTGGCAATCGGATCCCAGATAAAGTTAAATGTGGAAACCCGTGGCGAAGAGGACGGCGGGAACATGCGAGCACAGCCGTCTTTTCTGCCGAGATGGAGGGGTCGAGGTCTTCCAGCATGTTTGCAACTCGTTTAAGGCAGGTTTGCATAAAAGGGCGAAGTATACGGCGATCGGAATGGGAAGCCCACAAACAAATGTCGTCAGCATAAATTATCATACCACTAGGATGAGGTGATGAGTCCATGCACAGTGGTAGCGTTGCCATTACGACGTTGAAGAGTGTCGGGCTTAGACAGCTACCTTGAGGTAGTCCCCGCAGCAGTGGGCGAACAGCACCTTTGAACGTTCCCAGGCGGACACTGATAGTCCTGCCGTTCAAGAAGTCTTCGAAATATCTTAACATCCTTCCCGTTACGCCAAGATGTCTCAAGCACGCAAGAACAACATCATGGGGAACAGAGTCGAATGCGCGTTTCACGTCTAAAAATACTGCCAAGCCTGTATGTCCCTGGGAACGGGCATCTTCCAATGCTGACGTGAGAGTCGCAATGCAGTCAGCGGTGCAACGTTCGCTTCTGAATCCTGCGAGCTCAGGGGGAAGAGCTTCAGTATCGTCGAGGAACCACTGAAGGCGTGTATTCTTAATATTGTCCTATGACAACCAAATTTGGCATGCATAAGCTTGAGGATATGTAGAATGCATCTATCTAGGTTTAGTTGCAATGTACATTTCTTGTATTTAGAAAAACATTTAAAAAAATTAGCCCTTTAAAAATGATGTTAGATGATAATTACATAAGTGACGAGGACAGGACGACACATCTCTGCGATTCTTGTCTAACACTGCAACATTAACAGCATGCTTCATTTCCGTGAATTCGAAATGATGTTTTTGTGTTTTTTAAATGTTTTAAAACAAGAGTTCTTATACACAATATTTAGGTTGTCTATTGCACTCGGTGGTTTAAAAGGAGCAAATTATCCCATTTTACTAGGCTCTTTTAAGTGTGTTGCCATGCCCCACGTGCACACAAGGACATGTTTTTTTGACGTACGACTGTCTTTCTCCGCCCTTGGAAAGGGTGCAAAGTTGGGAGGTCAGCGTCATCGTAACTTAGTCATGGAAGTGACATCACACAGATAACACCGGAGTGCCGACCAATTTGCATTGCTGCGCTTCCTGACGGCGTGCCGTGCCTGCTGCCGAGAACCGCGCAGTGCACGCGCGCATACTTTTAATGTTATAATGCGATAGCATTCTTTAGTTGGATTTCTTGGACTTTCTGGCCTCCTAATGCGTGGTAGGTATGCGCAGTCAACCATTTCAGCTGACATTCATTCACATTCGCACCCTCTTCGAAGGACCTGAAGACGACCTAGACGTCGTCTTCTAGGGCGTCGTCCTAGACGTCGTCTTTGACATTGTCCTAAACGTTGTCCTCTCGTCGTCTTTTCATTTCTTATGCTATCCACATTTAGTTCTATGGAAATTTACGCAGCACAATACACCCATGCACCAACCTTTTTTTTTATGTGTATTACGTTTAGAAGACAAGAGCCATGCCATGCAAAACTGACACCAGATTTAGGAAAAGTACATCAAGCACTATGAACTGAAAATCTAGTTTAGATTTTATAAATATTAAAAAAGAAAGTTTTCCCCCATGCGCTTATCCCTTGAAGCTTGAAATGCTATCGCCAAAACTCGGGGTGCCAACCCAAGTGGCAAAATCTAGTGATCTTTTATTAATACCCCATTCGAGTAAAATGTGAAAAGAAGTGTGTTTGCACTAACTCTGTCACGCAGTTTACATTTTGAATGGACAAATCACCATGTATATTTACACTCCTTCAACCTCTCTGGTCTAAGAACTCTGCCAAATTCAACCTTTTTCCTATGTTATGATGACACAGCTGTTTCCAGGGTGTAGACTCCAAGAAACTAGATAGTCTAAGGGCATAACTTGTCAATCAGCTTTTAAGCTTTAATGATAACAGTATTCAAGAATGCATATACCACCTGTGGGTAATTGGGCAAGAATGATAATTTTTAATGCAAGTTATAGTTGCAGGTTGCTGCAATAGATGATTCCTCTAACATTTATTCTCTCTCTCAGTGGCTTCTTACATGTGTAGCATCCTCGAAGCAGTGCACTGCCTGACGAAACTTCCTTCGTGTGGCTGCTTCGGACTGTGGTTTCTATTGCGTGTTCCTGCACGGGGCAGCAGGCTTGTATATGTTCCTGATGAAGCTTGCATAGGTTGCATGGATTTCACAGTTTCAAGCACAGTGTACACTAACTTGAAACAATGAAAAAGCTACAAAGGCTCCACGAATGCTCGACAAAATCTCGAGGAGAAGTGTAGACGTCTGTCTAGCCACTCGGATGCCTCGCCGAGAGCTTGCACCTGGTGGTTTGGACTGCCCGTAGCTCGGTGGAAAACTTTGCAGACCCGAGACGTCTAAGGACCATGGTACAAAATGAGCCACTTGCATTGCTGTATGCAGATTAAAAGGGATGTCGCAGCGAATATGCAGACAAACTTGTTTTGAACCCCAGACAAGGGCACAAAGGGTAAACCAACCTCCAGCAAGTATTGAGCATCCACATTGTTTTTGTTTGAGGGTCCACATGTCCAGTATCGTGTTCTTTGCCATAGCTGGGGCGAAGCGAGAGGCAGGGAGTGCAGAAGTTGAGCATGGTCCTTTTGTGCCACAGACTGTGTTCGGAGCATTGTGTCCTGTTCCATGGCCATCAAGTTCAATGGCGGAGGCCACCTGAACCACAGCATCTACTGGACGAACCTTTCGCCCAATGGAGGAGGAGAACCGACTGGTGAGATCCTCCATTGACATACAGCTAAGTGTCTGGTGAAAGGCTGAGCTCTGCTGGAGCTGTTAAGCGCTGTTGGACTTTCAGATCTTGAGAGAATAGTGTTGTTTTAGGCCACTGGAGGCCTTGCCTAAATATGGCTCCGTAGAAACACCTCTGATTAAGACTATACATCTGGCCCAGAGTTAGGCTGGCCTAACCTGTACAGTCCTCTGCTTGGAATTTTTTTCATGCATATCAGCCCCAGGTTTTCCTCTTACTTCATTGACAAAAAAATGAAAGCCGTTTACAACTCCCTGTAACACCGAATTAGAGCGCAGCTCTTGAGGAGGAGGAGGGGAAGGTACGGAGAGGGGGCTATGGCCCTCCTCCTCTCCTGCTCAGCTCCCATTTAGGGGAAACTTTTCCGGAAAAAATTTTCCGCTAGATTTAGCAGGGAAATTTACCCATCATGCACCGTGCGCCGACGCCGCTCAAGCTGGAAACAGGCGCCTAAGAGCTGCGCTCTAAAACTTAAGGCCACTTTCAAAATGTAGCTCAAATACTATAGAAATACAAATACTGTAAGTTCGGTCTTGCATGGGTGCACAGTGATGGTCAGACGAAGCTTTCCATCTGCCATATATTCAAGCAGACAAAAGGGGGCATACAGGGTGTGCTGTGTGTCCCAGGTGACCTCCTGGAAGCCATCAAGAAGGACTTTGGGAGCTTTGAGGCCCTCAAGGCGCAAATGTCTGCCAGGGCCGTGGGAGTGCAGGGCTCGGGCTGGGCCTGGCTGGGCTACAACCCCAAGACGCAGAGGCTGCAGGTGGCCACCACGGGGAACCAGGACTCCCTCTGGGACACCGAGGGTAAGCAGGACGCCCCACCACTCTGCTCTTCATGTGCAGGCTCAACGGGATAATCTCTGGGGTAAATTTGAATCTTACAATACGGACAGTCGAACTCTTCCACTGTCACTGACACCCTCAAACGTTGAAGGTTGGGAGACAGGTCATGATTGGGACATTGCCTCAGAGCCTTAGTCAGAGGCTAAGCTTACTTTTAATCCTAACTTCAGCCATGCTTGTGCTTCGACCAGCATGGCTACGACGCAAGCGCTTGCACAGAGACCGCATTATTGATTTATATGTTTGGTTGTTTTCGTTGAACTAACCGTCTTTGTGAGTAACTTAGAGGCCGCACGCGTCCTTCACGGGGCAATCTGCCCCTAGCCTCCGACCGGCCTGAGGTGCGTCATCACTGCACTTGTTGATTGCACTTGATGTTTTCAGTTATGAAAGGATCTTATATTGACAGTCCCCTTGTTATCATTATTGTGTAAGGACGTTAGAAATACAATGATTTAATGTTGAAGTAAAGGTAGCTGAGGTGACAGTACAGTGGCCGAACAATTTTTCGGACTTTGCAGGAACCAAAAAGATGTCCGAATATTAGAGCAGTTAAAAAAACTTGCCTTCTTTACGTCAAAGCAGGCTTAAAAATGTCGTTAGTAGTGCCTTACTTCAGGTGACAGCTCTGCTTGCGTTCGGCCATTTTCTATAGCTGGAGAGCTTTCTCTTCTAGCGTTGTGGTTGAGTACTTTCTGCGCTACTTAGTGGCGATGGAGGAGCAGACGGGGCCGTGACGTCCAAGCCAGCATAGTCCGAAAACATGACTCACCTAGACGAGATGAAAGGCGCAAGTCCACGACTGATGAATGGCGGCCGTGGCATCTCTAACAAAATGTCTGACTATAGCCTCAACACAGCTTTTGTGTTGCTTAGGACGTGGGTTGTGGAATCGAGGCAATAACAGAGAGTTGTAGTAGATCACTCTAATACCCCCGATAACGATATCCGATAAAATACTACGCATACGCAAAGGCGGCGGCAGTGTATCGGCTCTCGGTGCAAATGATGTCTGAAAGATAATGTCCAGGTTAATGATGTCTGAAATATCAGTCGCTGTTGTACATGAACTCTTTCGGTACCACGCCCATTGGACATCGATCACCCGTGAACAGTAGTTTTCACACGCTGCAATACAGTATAAACCACTTACAACGTAACCGTTTATAGTGCGGGACCGGGTATAACGCGGCTTTTTTAAACCACCGGTTCGCTCCCATAGAACTCCATGTATTTACATACCGCTTAAAATGCAGGTGCGCGAAGGGAAATACCGGTTATAGTGCGGTTTCTCGAACATCCCGGCGGCCTTGCCGACTGACCGACGCAGTGAGCACGCTTCCCTGTGCGGCGCTAGATAACGGCGCGAGCCGCAACGCCGCAAGCGGCACCTGCGGGGCAAGGAGGATGTTCGAAGAAGCGGGAAGAAGCGAAGAGAGAGGCTTCAGTTGCCATAGCGACGGAGGGACGCACGCACATGTCGTTCACGTGCGTGCATCCCTCCGCTGTGACGGTCGGAAACAAGCGCAACGACAGACCAATCGCAGGTCGAGGAGAAGTGTTCGCGCGCGTTGCATGCCGGTCGCGGGTCGGCCGGTCGGCTGCTTGCTTCTGTTCGCAAACATGGCGTCGGTTGTGATCGTTGACGTGGTAGACGGCGTGGTGGAGCTCATCGTTCCGCAGCGCTATCCTTGACTGTGAATTTTCGTTGTGTGTCGCTATGATAACCCAGCACGTACCAGAAGGGAAGATCCACCTACTCGTGCGGCGATGTCGTGGCGGCACTCTCAAGACGGCAGAAACGCCCGTGTCGTCGTGTTTGTTTACTTCGACTACAGTGGTGCTTTCTGAGCATGTGTTTTCGAACATCGCCTGGATTTCTTATTTGGAGCATTCCATGCCTGTGCTAAAGTTCAAGGTATTACTGGCGCGTACCGTATGAAGGATGCGAATTTTCACGCGTTTTCATCGCCCGAGAAAAGTGATTAGGGTTAGCAATCCTGAACGCTCGCAACGTCTGCCCATAACCCGAGACGCCGTTAAAAGGCTCCGCCAGGCAAAAGTCGCTCATTTCTTTCAAAATGTGTGACACACTTGAGAGAAAAGTGCACTAGTCTGGTGAAATAAAGACTTTCCTCAAACTAAGCTTTATTTTTCATCTAACATAAAATAAATTCTTTTACAAAGGTAAGTTGTCTGATGGCATGTATTTTGGCCTGAAAAATTGATGTTTTGGTTATAGCGCGGGTACCGCTTATAGTGCGGATTTTCGCGACTCCCGCGACATACATTATATGCGGTCTACACTGTAAATTTGAATTTGGCGTGCAGGACGTGTTGTGCCATCTCAGAAATAGCCAAAGAACTACAGCATTGGATTTGTTTTGCGCTTTCTCCCAAGCTGGTGAGGTACCAGATATCAATCTCTGATCAGCGGCAGCCCTTGTCAAACGTGGTGTTCTGCTGGCATTGGGGACTGCTACAAAGACGCCATCAATTGCACGATTTAGCTGCTTTTGCTGCTTGCTTTTTGTAGGACAGCAGCAGCGAGGACTGTGGACAATGTTGGATCATTTGATTTGAGCTCCTACAGCAAAGTTCCATCTTTGAGGCGCAGAATATTGACTGGCACTCATTGGAGAGTGTCGTTCTAGCTTTCTAGGCTAGAACGACTATACAGGGTGTCACAAAAGAAAATTTACACGGTCTTTTCGACCGCAAAAATAAACTAGGCATTGCCGAACTCCCATTCTCCGCCCAAAGGTAGCGCTAGAGGTCACAACCAGATGCCAAAGTTTCAGCCCGATCCGATAACTTAATCAAAAGTTATAAGTGATTTTCTGAAAAGTTCAATGGGGAAATGGAGCCCATTTTTGCCTGTTTTCGGTTTCTGGTGCCATAGAGCCACATGTGTTTGAAAACTCCGTCGGCCGCCATTTTCCCACTGGAATTTTCAGAAAATTACTTATAACTTTTGATTAAGTTATCGGATCAGGCTGAAACTTTGGCATCTGGTTGTGACCTCTAGCGCTACCTTTGGGCGGAGAATGAGCCTTCGGCGATGCCTACTTTATTTTTGCGGTAAAAAAGACTGTGTAAATTTTCTTTTGTGACACCCTGTAGAAGTGATAGTGGTGTGTATGGGGCACACTTTGTATATTTAGGAGTTTTAAAATTCCTAAATATAGGATTTTTAACTGCAAATGTGTAAATTAGTGTCGTGATGTAGGCGAGTTGGTTCATGGCAAACGGAAATAAACAGCGCGCAAAAATAGACTAAGACGAGGGGAGGGGCACAGATAAAACAACCAGAGAATTATTGGAAGCAGGGCCGTACCCAGAAAAAAAATTTCGGGGGGGGGGGGGGGGGGGGGGGGGGGTTTCGGGGACAACGATGGCCATTTTGAATATGTCTATTGTCTTATTTTCGCCTATGAATCATGTGCATCGGTGGCATGTAATGGAGAGTTATAGCAAACCGGAGAACCGATCCCGGTTTGGTACCCGGTAGCCGACCTGCGCCACTGCGCGTGCGCAGAGGTGGAGATTAAAATCGGCTGGCTGCAAGTGCACCGACCAGGGCCGTACACAGAAAAAAATTTCGGGGGGGGGTCAGAACCCCCCCCCCCCCCCCCCCCCCCCCGTGGTTACGGCCCTGATTGGAAGCATATGCAAAAACAAAAGAGGGCAAGATACATGCATCAGCCAAACATCGGTTTTTCTTCACAAAAAAGAAATTGCTTATATTGACACATGCTGAAGCAATGGTGCGGTTTACTTCGTTGGTATTGTTTCAGTAAATGTTTAGTTGCGAGTGCAGCACTTGTGTTGTTCGCATCTTCCCTTCGTCCTTGTCTATTTTTGCGCTCTATTTATTTCGTTTTTCAAATGTTTAAACTTTTTGTTCTCATTTTTGCACAAATTCCAAGTTCAGCATTTAAATTTTACAAACTTTTTCCAGACATTGGTGTAAACCTTTTTGTCTTCTAAAGAGCAGCTTATTGGCTACATTGTGATGTATTATAATTACTCGCATAGAGTCACCGACCGATTTGCCTGACTTGCAGGGTCTGAAAAAATGTCAGAATTATAGAGCAGTCAGGAAAATTGGCAGATTAAAAAACTTGCTTTTATTACGTCTGAGCGTTCTTAAAAATGCCGTCAATAGGCGCCTTGCTTTACGCCTCTGCTTGCGCTCGACCCCTTTTAGCTTGAGAATCGCTGCCTTCTTTTCTAGCATTATGGTCGAGTACTTTCCATGCTTCTTAGGAACGCCTCACGGCGGCGGAAGAACAGATGGGGCCATGACGTCTAAGTAGCATAGTCCGAAAACACGATTCACCCAGACAAGATGAGAGGCGCAAGTCCACGACTGCAGAATGGCGAATTAACAAAGAAAATTGGTGACGATGATAATGCAAAGCTGTTGCGTACGATCAACAATGAGGAGTGAGTTACAATCTTGTGAAGATATCCGAAAACTTTGTGGGCAACTTTTCAAACCAACTTTCACAATCTGACAGCGTGCATGACGAGCTGCCTGAAGGAACTGCTTGGAATCCGATTTGCATTCCTTAGAAGACTGCTTTCCCGGCATGGCACAATTTGTTTTCTTACTTCTTTTGGTCACACTCCGAAGGTTATCCCCTATTAGCACCCAATTCACTCTTCATCTTTTATCTGGGGGGATATTACGGTATGTACGCATACTAGGGTGACCACCCGTCCCGCGACTGTCCCACATTGAGGGTTCGTGTCCCGCGTCCCGCAAGGAATACCAAAGTTTTCAGAATGTCCCGCATTTCACATTGTTGTAACATTCATTATGCAAATTATGACATTTTTTATTCAAGCACTGCAGGAAGCGACAGTCGTTCTTGCAGGAGACATACGCGCATGGCCATTCTGCTTCCCCCCTTGATGGCAAAATATTGCGAGCGAAAATTGCCCGGAAAAAGTTGAAAAATAAACTATTGCAATTATTATCACATCATACTGTGTCATGAGTAATAGTTGTTGTAAAAAGCTTTTTTTTTTGAGTTGTGAACACGGTTACAGAAGGCAAAACGCCTGCAACCCCCAACGGTCGGAAAAACAACATAAGGTTCTAATTTTGTGTAGGAGCATGTTATAGTGGGTTACAAGTCAAGAAGGTAGGAGGAGCTCCTCCCACAAGCGTGATGCGCCCGTTCAAATCCATCTGCAGTCGAAAGAATAGTTCACTGGAAACGCCCCTTGTTCCGCTTCAATGAATAGATATTGGCCACAGAGTGATGCCAACTTGTCTCCGACCGCCACTTTATGAGAAAGCGACCTTTGTATTCATCAGAGGGGGAACCGAGCCCCTGAGAGTGGTCTTTGTATATCCATTGGAGGGGGAACCTAACCCCCCAAAGTCGTATTTGTTTCCATCGGAGGGGGAAAACTCTAATCTCCCTCTCGTGGCTTCCACAGTGCCAAGTCAAAGTCGAAAGATAAAGCCAATATTTACCTGAAGGCAAAACCCTCTCCCGTGTTGGCCACGACGTCACGGAAACGATGGGAGAATATTGGATGCGGAGGTGGTCGAGGGATATATGAATCCCTTTGAGGGGCATTTGCTGCTCTCTTCTTGACCTGTAACTTACTATAGTGCAAGAGTGAGCATTGACAGGAAATAATAAGGCGAGAAAAAAATCACGGTTTCTTAGTTCCTTTTGATGCATTTGGTCTGCTGCAGTCGATTTTAACGTTTTTAACCTGGACACCTTTAATAAAACATTACCTATTACAATTGCCGCAACACAATTTTACAGTTGTAGAATGTGCTTTCGGACAGCACAGGATTTCGGGGTGTGTGTGTTGATGAATTTTCTTTAATACTTTCTTCTTCAGTTGTGAAAATAACGTCCTCCTCTTCTTGCCCCCGGTCAGGGTGTCCCGCATTTGGACAGCAGGAAGGTGGTCACCCTAACGTATAGAGTAGCTGGACCTCCTTTGGTTTTTGCTGTCCCCCCCATGTAATGGGTCCCTAGATGCCTTGGAGGTAAGAGAAAGTCTGTTTGCAGGACTGGTGCCCCTGTTCACCATTGACGTGTGGGAGCACGCCTACTACCTGCAGTACCGCAACGTCCGACCAGACTACGTCAAGGCCATCTGGGACATTGCCAATTGGAACAACGTGGCGGAGCGCTTCCAGAAGGCCCATGCCGAATGAGAGCCCTCTCTCCCCCCTCGCAGTTAGTGTACACGGGAAGTAAAGACTTGTCCAGATTGCATACCCGTCTGTGTTCATGCTTTGCCCCCGAGGGACCTTGGCAGCTCTCTCTGTCGTCCCTATTGTCACACCGTCTGTCGAGGGAAAATTGGGAGCCGAGCTACGTAGGCGGGACAGAGGGTTGCCCTCGAGACGTCCTGGGAGTTACTTCTGTGGACGCTCGGGCGATAGCTGCTGGTTTGTTTTGCAAGTTTACTGGATCATGATCGTAAATTGATTTTGATATGCATTTCGTTTTGCTAGGTGGACAGAAGCCATTGCTACCTGGAATGGGGTGTCACTATAGGCCATAGACTTTCCAGTTTTAACCGATAAAAATCTGCCGGTGTCAAAAATACCAGAGCTGTGAAAACCGAAACATGCAGATTTCTGTAAATGATTGCTCCAAGTGAGGACTGCCTTTGCCCACGCATCTTCATGTGCTGAATGATGTTGATTGGGGCGAAGCTCTAGTGGTGCTTGTCTGCGTAGACTGTGAACCGCGGCATGCCAAGCCTTTCGTTCGTTTTCATCCGTGTCAGAAAGAGAATGTGTGGTATGGAACGTGGTTGTATACGCATTTGAGCAGTCTTGTGCGAATAGTGCATTTTGAGTTAAAAGCGAATTCGAAGCGAATAGTGGTTTTGGCCGAATATTTTCGATTCGAATATCGAATAGTTTTTCCACGCCTTTCATTATGATTGCATAATGCTTAGACGAAAACCCAGCTAAACTTGTGAAGGTTGTTCCACTTGTTCATTTATAAGCTAAGTTTAATCTATCTATATTTATGAACTGTGACCACAGAAGGTCTGGCGTCTTGGGATGGCAAGTAAACGACGAATTTGACATGAAATGAATCCTGTAGAGATGGCCAACTATACCAACTAAAGTTAATTTACAAATCTTGCCATATAAAATATTATTTCTTTAATCTCGAGTTAAAAAAAGAATGAATCGTGCATGATGAACGCAGGTTGTAAGGGCATCTCTGCCTAACATAGTATACTCTTGCATAACAGTTTAATTTTAAAATTTTTACTGCAATGTAGATATACACATTCACAAAGTTTTCACTTATTTTCAAATACAGTCTGCACAGGTGCACCATCGTGTTTTGAATGTATGCTTTACTTCCGAGCACGCAATTACGATATTCATACTTTTTCAAAGTTTATCGCGGCTGGTTACCCCGTTGAGTGCGCTTCTTACCAAGCACCGGTGCGCTGCGGAGAAGCAACACCCGCGAAGCTCGCTTCCGCGAGGTTTGCTTCTCCTCAGCGCACCGGTGCTTGGTAAGGAGCGCACTCAACGGGGCCAACCCGCGGCAATCAACACTTCGAAAAACGCGAATAGTGCAGTTCTTCTCGAAGCGAATATCGAATAGTGTATTATTCGGAACTACTATTCGAAATTTCGAATATTTGCACAACCCTACATTTGAGCATTTGACCGCAGCGCCCTCTATAAACGTTGAGCCAATGCATGCAAAGTTTAACGCAATTCTATACGTATTTGACCGCAGCGCCCTCTCCTGTATAGACGTTGAGCGGCTACATGCAGCATTTCATCCATGACAGAAACCCCAGCTCTCGAGTTACAACCACATCTTTGGAGCCCCCTACTTGTCCCACAGTCGTGGCCGAGTGGTTAAGGCGATGGACTAGAAATCCATTGGGGTCTCCCTGCACAGGTTCGAATCCTGTCAACTGCGCAATTTTTTCGTTTTTTGTTTCATCTTTTTTTATTTATTTTTTTGCCCTACATATGCACGTGAGCTCACAAGCACGAGCACCAGCAAAATCGATGTGAGCACGGACTCCGGGCGGACAAGGCTAGACCCTAAGGAGCTTCGCCCCTAAAAAAATAAAGCAAATCGAAGCAAAATAAGGGGGCGGCCGGTTATCTCTGGGGGTAGGGCATCTCTTGAGATATTATGGTAAGATAACCGAGACAACCTGGAGCTGAATATTGCTGTGTCCATAGCCATTCCTCTGTTGAGCCTTAACAATCCTTATTTTTTCATAAGCCCAGATAAGCAGGAACGTGTTCAAACTCTGTGTTGTGAAGTATCTCGACTCGACGTATACTACTTGTTATTCAGTGGAGCAACAACGAAGTGTTGGTTCACATTTTATTTTAAAATAGCTAAGCCTATATTCTTTACAAAGCACATTTTCTGGAAGGTCCAACCAAAAACTTGAATAACAATTCCAAGTGTCGGATGAAGACGAACTGCTGGAATGCAAACGTTTTATTTGGCACATTATTTTGGGGCATGTTCTACAATTTCAGAAGATCACCACTACCCATAAAGTGATTGGCAATCTGGAGGATGGAACACCACACCCAGGACTCCAGTACCCGAATTTAGTAGACAAAAAACGCTCGTCGGGGTGCTCGATTTAATCCATGCACATTTCTCGTCGAACAGCTGCGCTTCTATTTGTGATCCACCTTGCCTGCTGTTCACCACATTAGTTCTATTAAAGGGTCTCAGCTTTTTGAATGAGAAATATTATTTTCCACAATGTGAAAAAGCTATTTAACACAATACATGCCACACTTTATGTTTAAAACATCGATTTTGCCCATTCAGGACTAGTAGCTATGAGCACCATACATTTGCAGATCTCAGAGTAGGGCAGGTTTAACAAACTGCCATCTTTTAAGCTTTAGTAGCCACAGTGAGCAAACACAAAAGAAAAGTTTGTGTGGTACCACACCTGGTTCCCAATGCGGAGCAAAGCACGTCAGCCTTCCGAGACGTCCATTCTTTAGACTAGGCACAGCATCGGCACACTCTGGTCCCCTCTCGTACAGCCAGACCGGCAGCATGAAAAATTTGTGTCAGTGCTACCTGCAGCATTTTATTTGATACGTCTCCTTAACAGAACAATTCCCGTAAAAGCCCCGTCACACAACAGACTCTACACGAGGAAATTGTGTGTCGCATCGCGGCAACAACAGCCGAGCAACATGTTGCTGCCGCCCGGCAACAGTGTTGGCCGATTTGTTGTCCCATCAGCCTGTCACGCCGCGTTGACGGCGGGGAGACTCCGCCACCTTGATTGTTTACCTTCGTTCGTGTGTGGCGCGGCATTGCTGGAAATGTGACTCTACAAAGTGCTAGTGCGTTCGAAGGACTAGAAATTACCACGCAGGGGTGGAACTCGTGAACTGCGCTTGGGAGCAGCCACGGGAGCAGCTGAAACAGCTGTTTAGGAGCAGGTTGGGAGCAGCTAAAACTGCGTTCTGGAGCAGGCTAGGAGCAGCTCAGTTCAGTTTTCATTGCACTTCAGCTTGTGCCTTAGACAAGCACGGGAGCAATTTCAATTGTGCTAAGCAGCATGGATGAACATGAGTGGTTAGGGACCTAGGTAGATGGGATAACAGTGTAACAGATGCGAAAACTTGAAACTTTGTGAGCCTTAATGAGAACCAAAAAGCAAGTACCATATGTTTCTGAAGATAGCGTCCTTGATATTTCCGAGTGGCTTTCAGCTGCTCAAAATGCAAACCAGCACTGCTTATCGCACAACCCACACGTGCTCAACATAGTAATTATATCTGCGAACCACGTGGCGTGCGTAAGCGACGGGCGTGCAGTAGCGCGGAGGAACAGGGAAACAAATTTCGAGTTGTGCAACTCAATATCGAAGCAGCAGACTATGATTAACGGAGTTATCGTATCTGAAGCGCTCGCGTGAGGGCTGCTGGCCAGCAAGGTTTCGGATCAGACCGCGTGCAGCTCTATCAAATCAAAATTTATCTTGAGAGAATGCGGTTCCAACAACGATGAAGGCTAACGTTTGGATCCCGGGCCACAGAGCTTCAGGCAATCTGACGCTGAACGACTCGACCTCACCTAGGCCGACCGCTTATGGTTGAAGAATAACAATCCAGTCGCAGGTCGTGTGGCGCTTAGAATCCGAGTTCTTTCACGCGCTTCCAACTCGGGATACACAGGGAGAATAAACAGGACAAAGGATTACAAGGCCGACCAAGCTAAACGTGCTCATTGTTGCCAATCGAGTCGATAAAAACCGAAACCAGGACAAAAAATAAAATTTTTTGGGGGCACGTTTTGCGATTTAGCGCATACTGGCGCATTGGTTGTGGTATTAGTTGTGGCGCAGTTTCTGCAACATGGCGCAGAATGGCGCAGATATATGCGTCTGGCGCAAAATGGCGCAAATGGCGCAGCCGTTCCACCCCTGCCACGGGACAACATCAACCAGTGACTGCGATTAGAAAACTTAACACGAGGAGTATTTTCCACCCTTTATTTCATCAAGTTGTTCTTCATTCCCTGACAAAGCAAATAGCCCTAACTGAGGAAAGTGAGACAGATGTTCCGCCTCATCATTCGTTGAGCTGATTTCATAGACTGCACAGATTGACTCTTTTGCGGGTAAGTAGATGCGCAGGTATTTTTTAAAGTGCAGGAGTGGGCTATCTTTCGGTGTTTAAAAAATATAGCAAATCAAGCCAGATATAGGCGGGGGCTATATTTCGGGAGTGCGGCATCTCTCGGGAGTTTACGGTAATCTTTTTGTAATGCAACGAAACTTGAGGTAAAAACAAATAAATATGCGGCTGCATAACGACGGCGCTTTTGCTGCCGCCGATGGATTTTGTCTGCGTGTCGTCTACTTTCTTTCGCTGGCTGGCTACAGCTTCCGACGCCATCCGATACGTGAACCAAACGTGCCCTGCCACTCGACTCGGTCGTCTGCGTCGCCGTTGACCCTGGCAAGTTTTTTGGCCCCATTTTTTACAGAAAGGGAGCTTCGCTTTGTAATTTTACATGAAAAAACTGACCAATGAAGTACACCTCGGATGAAAAGTTTAGAGTGCTGCATGTAGGCGCCGATTTTTACGGCCCATTTTAGATTGGACCTGGTTATTTCAGTTACTCTATACGTTCGGGATTTACGCCACCGCATGAAGTGTTTCTGTCCGATTCTTTCTTTCAAGCAATTCCTATTTCCACTGTAAAATTGACTTAGCACCGGCAGTACCCCAAAGCGTCTCTTGTAGCGTGGTGTTGAGCTGAACTAACAGTGCTTAAAAACTGTGAAACCGACACTGTCAGCCTATATAACTATCGGTGTAATAAATATGATTAAACTCTGCCTATTTGCCTACCGCCTGCTATGCGATTGCTTCATTTCCCAAAACGTCTTGGGTATTCTTGAAACAAATCAGGTGTCTGGCAGCGGCTGTTCCAAGTAATCAACAATCATGATTAGAGTAGTCGTTTTAATGCTTTGATTTTTTAATCTTTGCTTTCCTGGATTACTTTTATGATACTTTATCAGCGGGTGAGTAGACATGCCATTTTATTTCACTAGCAGTAATGTGAGCTGGTCCCAAGGCAGTTCTGATTTCAACACCAGTCTGAACGTTCAACAATCACTTTCCGCAATTACGCAGTAAAAACATTCATCAAATTATTTTAGCTGCATGCCAGCCCTAATTATTGTTAAATATTGTTTTCCAAGCCTTTATTTGAGTAAGACGTTATTGACAAGGAACTAGCTCTGCCATCCAAGCTATCTGCGTTGTCGTGTTGCCAGCCCGAAATTCGCTCAGCCAGCGATCGGGACAACACAGGTTGTCCAACACAAGTTGCTGCTGTTTCTGTTGCCAAAAGCCGTCCTACAGAGGGAACATTTTTGCTGTCATTCGTGCTGTGCCACTGTTGCCGCGATGTGACAGGTTTGTCGGACAACACGGAAAGCGAGTTGCCCGCCTGTTGGACAACATGTTGTGTTGCCATCGTGTTGCCTCAGTGTGACAGGGCCTTAAAGCACGCATACTATGCAACTTCTTTGACGTAACGCTGTCATGTGCAGTCAGACACGCCAGAAGTTGAAATGTGCAGGCAATGGAAATATCTGAACAAATCCCCAGAAAGCTACACGAGGCACAAAAGGATCGAGCGACACATCCGGTAAACAGCCGGCTTGTCCGACACTTTGTCACGTAACAAAAACAGGAACCAGAGGGACGCTGCCACACTGGGGAGTTTCAGCAGGTCTATCCGATACTTCGAGAAAAAAAAAACGCCCGATAACGAAACGATGCACGTGCAAAAATGCCGCAAAAGTATGCACTATTATCGAAGTTATCGGAACAGACTACCAAAGATCTCCACTACCACTTGTCGCACTACCTTCCGGAGCCTCTGGAGCTTGCTGAGCGAAACCGACAAATCATACAAGAAAGGTTCACGGAGCTTGCCAAGCAAAACCAACAAAATTTAACGTCGACATTTGAGGACAAGATGCAAGGCACAGTGGGTCCTGAACACAGGGTCGAGTGGTTGGAGCCCCTGGGAAGAGGCCGCTCAGACGTAGGGTTGCCACCCCGGGAAGAGGCAGCTCAGGTTCTGGGGGTCCCTGGCCTGCTGGATGAGCAGGTTGACTTGGCCGGCCACACTGAGCGGGGCACCCTCCTCCAGGCCTTGCAGCTTCTGCTCCAGTCGCAGTAGCACGCGTTGGGCCAGACGGTTCTCTGCGAGGCAGACAGTCAGCCGTGAGGACGGGAGACCTCACAGCATCCTACTAACGTTCCTAGGACATCCACAAATCGTCGGGACATTCAAAGAGAGTCCGCGGAACCGTGCATGCTACGAGGGTAAGTGCGCTTCAACGTGCATATGCCGTAGTGATGCATACAGGAGAGCACGTTCCCATTGCCTGCCATAATATGTACAACAGTCGACTCAATAATTTAGTTTCTTTATTTAAATTTCAGGTTAGTTCGAAGCGGGCGTGTGGTCCTGGCCATCACGCGCACGCGTCTAGTGAAAATATGTGTGGCAATTGAAAGTTTAACTTCTTGGAAAGGTTAATTATAGCTAAACACTTGCTTTCCACGTAAGGCACATAAAAATATTAGGCGCTGAAGATAATCGGCCATCTGCATTAACTCCTTATTTTGAACTGCTTGTTCATGTTCTGCCCAAAGATGTGCATGGCAAAAAAGCCGAAGAAGGCTCCTAATCTCCCAGCACCGCTGGTCCTTCCACACAATAAAATCCATCTGCTATGATCAGCGTAACCTAGGCAATGAAGCAACGTTCTCTATAGGCAAATGTCAAATGTGGTGCCCGAAGCCAGGAGCAGCACAAGCAATCTTCCGAATGCCGTCGGCTAAAGTGAATGCGGTAACGCTTGCCAAAGTCTGACGTGCCGTTGTAGAGGTCAACGGTGAGAGCGGTAAGTGGGCGCCTAACAAACCCTTCGCGGTTCTGACGAGGCTTGGTGCACGCTAGGGCCTAAGATTATAATAAAGCTTCCCCGAGCGCAACGGAGTGAAGCGAGAGGTGACTATGCGTACCGCGGTCTGTTTGGAAGCCTAACTTCGAGCCCAAGCAAGCATTACTGCATCCGTTGCAGACGGCATTCGGAAGATGGCGTGACTGTAGCTGGTTTCAGATGCTGCGTTCGTGCAAGCGCCTATCGACATGCTGCGACAGAAGCAGAGACTTCGTCAATCGGACGGAGACAGTGGTATGGCGAGATCACGCACGCACTGGTGCTTCTCCATCGTGCTTTTTAACAGGCAGAATGTGAACCAAAAGTTTGAAATAACGATTCCACGCCAAATATGTTGACGAGCCTTACATAAAAAGCACATTTCTGGCCCTCGACAGCGTTGTATGCAAAATCGCGATGCCTTTTTCACAGTTGAGGCTTCATTGCAGTACTCCAGTGCGCGATGAGAAGCACACTCAACGAAACTAAATAAATAACCTGCCAGAACAGACCACGAAACATTCGGGCAGCAGCGTAGACTTTCCATTTTCCCGGGGGGGGGGGGGGGGGGGGGGGCATGATCTTTACCGAGACGCTGCCCCCCTGGATCCCACCAGGGGAGGCACGAGCCCCGATGCCCCTCCGAAGTCTACGCCTATACATTCGGGTACAGTCAGTGTTCGATGCAGAGGTAAAACCAAATACCCTAGTATGCTATATAAGGCAATAATCAAAAGTTCTCAAAATTCACACGAGTCTACAGCAGTGATCTGGCCATATAGCGGGGCTTCCGATATCACATTTTCTGTATTAAAGCCAATCCTTATAATGGCTAGATGAATTCGTACAGTTTCCAAAAGGATATAGTTGAGATATTTAGTGATCCGTTTTTGAATGTTTGTCAGCAATTCAAAAAGTGTGTGCACGAAACACACCTCATTACCAACATACATTGTACCTTGATAATAAGTTGAGAATGACCTCTTTGCCAATCGGCTCTTTTTTATCTCGGCAGCGTGTGGTTGGTTGAGGAGTCAAGCAGACGCTGCCTCGATAACGAAGTGCCATTCACACTTCTCGACATTATTTAGGGCACCCTCTTAAAGGGACCATGAAGGCAGTTTCGAAGTTTTATTCGACGATTGAAATGGATGTCAGGGCACGTCTCAGATACTGTTGACCAAGTTCTAGCCCGAACAGAAGTTAAACAGGCGCGGTAATAATAGCGCCGGGAACGATGCCCGAGACCCCACCGAGGCGGCGGCAGAAAGGTGAACTAAAGTGCGCCGAAGCGTGACGACAACGGGCTCCTCGTCTGGCGATTGGTTCAAATGATAGACGCGCTCTTGGTTTCGATTTCGGTGGTGAGATGTGATGAAAAAATTTTATTTGAACGTTGGATAATCTTTTGAAGTTGTAGTTGGGAATTAATAGGTTTCATACCGTGTATAAAAGCATAATCTGAAGCGATCCCTCCGTTTGTCACTGGTTGAACGCATCCCGCACTGCTACCCCGGGCGCGTAACAAGCATCGAGCAACCATGGACAAAAAAAAGAAAAAGGTAATAGCGCCGGGGGCGGCGGACTTTTGGTTTTGGTTTCGTGCGTCGTCTCGTGTTCGCCTTGCGAACTGGTGTCTCACCAATCATGCCGCGTTTATGTGCAGTAGAAGGTTGCGCGAAAGGTCGGCTAAAGACGTGTGGTCGATCGGGCGACGTTAGTTTGCATAAACTGCCGACCGATGCAGCAATGCGCAGCACTTGGTTGCGCGCCGTCGTCTTGCGCAGAGCTGTGGACAACGGTATCAGGATTTGTTCGTTGCATTTCCGACCAGAAGACTTTGAGCAGCACCTTCACGTCAGCCGGAGTCTGGGTAAAAACATAAAGTTCCCGCGTCTGAGGAAAGACGCTATTCCCTCACTTTCCTTGCACAAGGAGCCCACACTGCAGCGGCAACGAAGCACAATAAGCTCTATATACTGTAAACGATTTAAGTTTCGCGAGGTTGCTGAACGGGAGCTTAAACTTGTTTGCGAGCGTGGCGTTGTCGTCCATTTCTTCCAGGTTTTCTTCACAGACCGCCGTGCACTAGAGCGAACCATGGGAACCACACTGAGTGTGCACTAAATCCTACCGATGCCGACAGTGCTCCCTGACGTCACTTCTCTTTCCAGAGGTGAAAAAGGGAAGAAATCTGAATGTTTGTTTCGGTTTCGCGAATTTATTTGCAGGTACAGAAATAAGAGTCACAAAGTTCTAGAAAAAATTGTGTGGCATGCCAGGACCTGAATGCTTCCAAAAACACCTTCTTTCTTTAAAAAAATTAAACTGCCTTCATGGTCCTTTTAAATAATCAGGTGCGCTTCTATGCCTGCACCTTTTGAACAGCTGCCAAACATTCAAAAACTCGCGGATAAATATCTCAAAGACCATCGCCTTTTTGCAAATCGTATGAACTAATCTAGCCATTATAGCGATCGGCTTTAAAAGTGCAATTGGAACACAACTCATAAAACCAATTCTTAAAAAGGTCATTATGCAATTTTAGTCGCGGATCATCTTGTCTCGCTGCCCTTCGTAGTTGCAGTCTTTCGCCTTCGCCTTGAGATCTGTGAGGAACGCATAGAAGGCTTTACTTGGCTCTTGCTTCCTGCATCGCAGTAGGTATCGAGCGTATACTTTGTTTCTTCTGGGTGCAAAGTAGTTGTCGAACTCCTCCGCTACAACGCTGAGCACTTTTCCCGGTTCTGAAACGGTCACTGTCGGCTCGCCAAAGTCCAACGTGCTGTACACGTTGATGACGCCTGATCCGCGACCAAGTCATTTTGGGGATCAACAATGAAGCAGTGCGCATGAAACTGTTGAAACTGGAGGACACAACGCCAGATACTGTCGCAAAGGTATGCCTCGTACACAAAACGTCGGCGAATCAGCTCATGGCGTTCGGGCAGGATCCCACTCGTGACACCATGTTTTGTGTACCTTTTTATAGGAGACCTACGAGGCAGCATGTGCACTGGACCACCATGTTGTATTGTCTGACGATGATGATAGTGTTCAGAAATCAAAGTCAAAACAAAATCATAACATATTGTAACAGTAGCATCGGCGCAACTGGACCTAAAGGGGCCCTGCAACCCTATTTAAGCATCAATGTTTTTACAGCGAAGCTGTTTATGGCTAGGGTTTCGTGGATTGTTCGTGTGCATGACCAAAAACTCTACGCTCGCACCACTGCACACCTTCCCCGTATAAAAGATTCAAAGTAAATAACAAAAATAATGCATCGACGAAAGCGCGTGTAAGATGCCATTTGTTTTAGGCTTTTGCTTTAGAACAATTACTGCTGCAGACGCCAGCACGTAAGTCACCATTTCCTGCAGGCTCCTTGATGCTTTGGTAATTTACGAGAAGGTCTATTCGGTAGATTAGTTATCAATAGGCACCATTTTCAAACTCAGTAGACTCTCAGGTAGAAAAAAGGTTTCTCAAAGATTTGCCGCTGTGTGACTCGCGTCGGCCATGTCTACGCTTGCACCGCCCTCTCTTTCTCGTCGTCCCAAGCACTTCCGTGCCTAGTTTCCTTTCCTTCCACTCTTCCGGGGTGGCAGTCCCGTCGTGCGTGTCTAGTTTCCTCCTCGGGCAGGGTCTATGTCGTGTGCTAAACAGTTTCGCTGGTCATCCACCTTCACAGAGCGGAATATGGCTCATGATTTTTGCTGTTTCCACATCTCTAGTGGTTCAGGCAACCCAGTGGGCGCGGACAGAGTCACTAGGTATTCGTGCGTCATATTTTAACGGTACAACACGTACAAACCTCCTCCTCCTACGGGGACGCCCTGTGGTGCCGAACGCGTGCGGCATGTGACGAATTCGTGACGTCGCTGGTACCTGCCAGTTCTTGCCTTACGACTCGTCAGAGCAGCTAAAAGCTTTTTTTTAGTCCAAACACAAAATATAAGTGGCGCGAACCGTTTAAATTATTTATGAAAGTAGTTTTTGTTCAGCATTTTCAATGAGAAAAGAAACAAGTGCAGTTCAGAAAGTACAGAAACAAGAAACAATGCGTAATGACCCGTCGACATACTTGCCAACAAGCCGACGAAAAGGTGACACAGGCCGCCCCAGGCGCTCCTGCGGATCCTAGCAGACGGTGTATGACACCGGTGGCACCATTTGTAAAAAGAGAAAGTATTATAATTGTCTCCCGTGGTCTCGTGCCACAGGAGACCGGCCTTGAACTGCAGCGTCGTCGAGTCGGGGCCGAGAGGCTTAGCCAGCACGCTCCGGGCGCTCACAAGAGGTGTCCTTGTATGGTACTACTCTATGTTCCGCACTTCGAGGATTTGGATTTCCGACTCTGACACAGCCAGTAAACTTATGCCGGCAAGCACGGTGGAGAGCTGAAGCAAGCAATGAGTCGTTGACGAGCATGTGGCCGATGGGGAAGCTACCATCAACGTAAGCCGCAACCGATTGGCCAGTCATTTCGCTTCTACCATTGGCCACCCAAGCCAGGACCAGAGACGTCACAAAGGAAATTATTTTTTGCTCGTTTTCGTTATTTTAAATTGCCTTTAAAGGGCAACTCCGGTCCATACTTCCGATTTTGGGACTATGACTGGTTTTAGCGCAGCCAGCGTCCATAAATTGCAAGGTGTAATTTTTTTCTGGTTATTGTGTGTAGTTTTAAAGATATCGATGCCTCAAAGTTTTGTTTGGGGCGTGACCAACAAAACTGAAACTAGCCGCTCGGGGCCTTGGCAACACTGGAAGTCAGCCGCTATGTGACCGTGACGTCAGGATCGTTCTCATTCAACGAGTACGCAGGCCAAGCGGCACCTACCTGTTGGGCTAGCCATCTAAAGATAGGAGGTAAACTGATTTTGTCATAATACTGTATACATGGTAGTTATCCAGCATATGTAGCAAGAGTTAGTGTGTATACCCAAAAGCTAGCTACTGGAAAACCCGTAAACACGTACGGTGCTGCACTTGGCGGCCGCTGCCGCACGTTCGCTATGCCATACTCGTCGCTTGTATACCCAAAACCTAGCAACTGGAAAACGAGTGAACTCGTTCGCTGCCGTATACTCGGCGGCTATCGCCGTATGTGCGGTCATCCGTGTTCGTCGCTAGGCCTAAATTGTCATCGGGGCTCCTTGGATGGAGCGGCACTGCTCTACACCGCGCTGCCAGTGAGTGACGTACAGTACTGAAGGCCCTCTCGTTTTCGCACTGCGGGTCAGTCCCAGACACGAAGCTTTGAGGCTCCTCGGCGCGGGCCGTGGCGCCCGAACACACGTGTGCTGGGCTGTACCCGTCTGTTTTTCTGTTCTTTTTTTCTCGAGCGCGTAAAAGCCAAAGTTTAAAGTCCACTCGTCGAACAGCGTTCACCCACACCTTCTCCAATTTCCGGTCCGTTGGAAACTTGTGAAAAAGCACCTCCGTGTTGCGCAGCGGGTTGTTTGAGCAGCCCACAGCGCTACAAGTTGCACTCGGCATCTTTCGAGGAACAGCTCGGCAGTCTTGGGCGCACTGAGTTGCTCGCTAAAAAGAGTCTTGGAGTCCTCAGAAGCAAATAAACAAAAGGCTATACTGAAGCTACACGGGCTAGAGATAAAAGCAACGGCTAAACACGCCAATCACAAGCCAAAGTAGCGGTGGTAGCGGCTCAAAGAAGCGCACTCCGCACAAAGCCCGGACCGGAGGAAAGAAAGAGAACGATCCTGACGTCATGGCCCAACGTTGCTTTAACGATCGACAACCCACTGGCCGCCCGCTAAGGAGCAGCGGCTCGCGGCGAGTCGCGTTGTTATCATCGGCACTAGTTGAGAATGCGGCGTCCCCCGGACGTAATATTTTGGTTGGGGTCGTATGTTGTGTCACTACAGCGATACCAGTAATTTATTTCATTTTGAGTTTTGGCCGGAGTTGCCCTTTAACTTTTAAAATAAAGTGAACTAGAAAAGGAAAGTTTCACTAAGTGGCTACATTCAGTGTGCTCAGGTTCGATGCAAATTAAGAACCAGTCAAAAAGTCGTTGCAGGGCCCCCTTAAGGTTTGACGAAGCGTGGTGCAGAGAGCGTCCCAAGCGCCACCCACTCTGTTCGTGCTGCGGCTGCAGGTCCGGGGCGTCCGAGGGCCTCCGCCTGGCGCCGGCGTCGTCCGGCTGGAGTGCCGCCGCCCTCTCGGGGCTCAGGGTCCAGACCGAGAGGGGGTCATGCAGCAACACCTCCACCACCGTCACCAGGGACTCTGCCGAGGCACGCATCACCTCCATCGTGCGCTCACAGCACCTGCACGGGATCACCCATCGCTAGCCACTTCAGAGTCACCACACTTCAATCACCCTGCTGGCATTGTTGCCGGTTATCCCAAGCTTAATTCGGAATTGCGGGAAAATGCATACTCCAGGAATGTTCAAAATGATCCGCGACAAGGCAAAACAATGGCACACAAGGTTAACTAAAGCTTAGGAAGTCACATTTTCTAATCTTAGCACCACCAATTGGAAGACGGTGGCGTTTCGATGTGACTCCTTTACTCCGTTCGCCCCTAAGCAGAGACTGCGGTCGTTGCCCCACCTTCTTTTCGTCGCCTGACCCAGCTCTTCGCGCAAGGATGTGGGCGAGAGTGTGATTGTGTGGCGAAGGATCGACGTACGACCGGTCCAACGTGCTCGTAGCTTCCGCCGCAGTCTCAACTTGGGGGTGGACGGAGCGTAGCAGAAGCCTTTCCCAAAGACATTGAGCGTAGCAGCTGCACTTAGTTTATAAATCAATATTCGCTTCCCCGAGCACGGCGCCATACGAAACGTTTAGGGCCACAATCGGCACTATCCGTTTTCAACCAAGACTTAGAAATTGAGAACACGTCCCTTCCGTACACCAGTGAAAACAGCCGCGATCATGTCACAATCATATTCGCACCAAGATGTCAACTCGATCCATGCCAACGAGCGAAGAGTAACCTGATAATAAAGAGAAAAAGATACTTCTTGCATACATTTTATCGTTTAGTGCCACTGGTGAATGCCATTCCATAATGTTTTCTGGACTGCCAAACAAGCAATTGCTTTGTAGAGGTAGTATACATTCCAGCACGAATAAACAAAAAACACGTCAACGTATTACCGTTGTTGGACACAAACAAATTCGAGCTCCGAGCAAATCCCGCGGCCCGAATGGCACGAGAACACATACAGAACAACGCGGGACATAGATACGTTTTCAAATGTCAAGCTGTCGAACTTTCACCCTGGATCGAGGTCGAGAAATGCAGAGGCGGGAAGGCACGGACGACATGCAGCGGGTGCGGGCGGCGCTTCGTTACGCGACGTAACATTTTTTTGCTGTCGTCGATGTAGCCGCGGAGGCAAATTGGCGCACCCCTTTTGGGTGTCGCACGCTTCCACACCCGCTCTGCACTAGGCAACAAAATGGCGGGACCTGCGAGACGATCGGGAGCGTCGACACTCCAAGTTTGGTGGCTCTAGTCACGGCTAATGCATGCAGAGTTGGCACACCGAGTACAGCGGCTGCAGGAGGTGCGGGTTAATAGAACGCAGCTATTGCGACGTTAAGGAACGCCCTCACGTGACTTCATGATGTCGCTCTACACCGTGATGTGTCGTCATGTGGCACAACAACCCTACATGAAACATGCTGATGTCGGCACTTTCTACCGCTGTTGCCGTAGAAAGTGCAGACATTGGCGTTTCTCTTTAACCGTAAACAGATACTTAGGTGCATTTGAGGTACCCAGACCCCGACGAGCGTACGGTGTCTGAAATGCGTGGACAGGCGTGTTTACTGCTTCTTCAATTGAGGTCACTCGATTCCCGCCGTCCGAAGCCACCGCCGCTAATTCTAGTCGCCAGCTGCGACCTTGGCGGTGGCACGGTCGAGGAGACGGAAGTTGCTTTGGAGCCGGCCCACTGACAGACACCGGTCGTGGGTAAAGATGGCGGAACGACAGCGACTCTTGCATAAACTCGCCTTCTTTACCGGTGCTTCCGCGAGCGATCGCTAGCGCCGCAACGAGAAACCGTGCTGCCGGCTCCTGCAACGTGAAGCGTGGGAGCCGTGGCGCAGTTACGCGCTTTCGACCGCCCGGGACGGGCGGCGCGGCAGCCCACCTGCGGAAGGTGCCCTCCACGCCGCAGATGCCCATGCCGTCCACCACGTCCCTCGTGAGCCGGAAGGGCACCGTCTCCGGGGTGTTGAGGGTGCGGCCCTGCTCGAAGGCCACCCCTGGGTGCACGTGGAAAGAGGGAAAGGGTGAAACACCCGTTTGGAGGAGACCCAGCTATACCGCAGCAAACAAGTTTAGGTATAAAGAATTTCTTTCCTAGAATACGCAATAGCGTTCGAAAGACTAAAAGCGGAAGTAAATGGACGCCGCTGTCCTTCTTTTCGTCCTTGTCTTCGAGCGCATCTATTCTTAAATTTGGCACCAACTCGCCCAACAATCGGCACTGTTCGTACAATTTCTTTCTGCACTCCCAATAGCCTTAAGAAAAGAGACTCGCAGAAACAAGACAATATCTTCACGATCCCATTATCAACCCCTCCGGATGTCTGGGAATGAGTGCGACAAAATGGTTAGCAAACCAATTATCCAAAATTTGCTAATTCACTTTTTAAATATTCGCCTTAACTCACACGCTTTGATGGAAGATTTACTGCCCTTCGTTGAAATCGGCCATAGCAGTCGACTTTGCAAAAAGGCCTCGGTTCCCCGCCACTCAGAGGAGAACGGGAATGTGGGCGAGCAATACAATTTAAAAGCCGACCTAAATTCAATTTTCGACACTAGCAACATGCTTCTCGTTGGCTCCGGCGTTTGCGTCGGAGCGCCGCAGCTTGTGCGACCAACGGCGGCACTGGCGTCCCCAAAGGGGCCCCCAAAAAGCGCTTCCAGACTCGGAGCGTGGGCTCACCGAGGTCGATGTGGATGAGCTCGGCAGTGTGCTTGTCCACCAGGATGTTGGCGCAGTGCCGGTCTCCCAGCCCCAGGATGTAGCCCACTGGAAAAAGAAAATGTGCCGGTCATGGGCCAGACGACGATGCTCGGGTTCGCTGTTCCGGAGAAACCCAGGGGCCCTGCAGCTCGGGGAGCACTACGCGAGAATTACCCTCGAACCCAATTACCTCATTTACCAGACTATACGCTCAAATCTTGGTAAGTCAAAGTCCCTTTATTCAAATTTCTGGTCAATTTGCGGCGGGGGTATGGACTCGATAATTATACGTACGAGTCAATAGGGAAAAAACGCGAGGTAATTCCAAATTTAACCTTAAGGACTGGTCAATACGAAGGATTTATTTTTAAGCAAACGAGAACTCCGGCAGCTTTTGAAGCGCAAAAAAGCATCGCGATTAGGCCGACCAAGCTTAAATCGCACGCACACAAACTTGATTGCTTTTATCTACTGCGTGTGCGGTTGAGAAAAAGAGGGAACGAGCGTTGTCCGCCACCAAGCCCGCCAGGCAGTCGAGCCAATTAAGCGGCCGAGCCACACGAAGCCATGACGAGCCGAGCCAAGCAGGCGTGCCCGCAGACGCGTGCATTGTGGCGTTGTTTCTGCGGAAGCTAGGGAAGCCAGCGCAGCCGCACGGCACGTACGGCCAAAGAAGCTTGGTTTGAGGCCTTACCCAACCCTACGAGATGTTTTCTCCACGAAATATACTGTCGTCAACAAATGTGCCATGGTCTGTAGTCTGCTTTCGGACAGTGACATTGTGCGAGTGATAAGACCTAAGAACGATGATGTCGCTTTCAATCTCGGGTGCCACTGACGCGATAACTGCTTGCGGCACTATAGCATTCAATTTCGCATTCTCTTTGGAAACTGCTGTTTTCCAAGAAAGGTCCGCAATTTGTGAAGCATAGTTAATGTTGTGCTTCTTCGTTAATGAAGGACCTCTGCTAGCGTAAGCAAGCAAAAATTAACTTCTCCCTGTGAGTACAAAATAAAATTAAAAAAAATCGTTGGAGTGTCTTTTTTTAAAATTCCGTGCATGTTTCATTTGAAGCATTTCGCTGTCCCTACAAGCTTGAAATTACCGGGAGTTGATTGTACATGTTTAAAAGGCCACACCCCTTAGGTGCCTCATTATGACGAGACGCGACAGATTTGATAGAAAACTGAGCACCGCAATATCCCCACAGATAGCCTACCTAAAATCAAAAGTAAATCGTTTGAAAATAAGAAGTTAACTTTTGCTGTGCTATAAAAAAAGATAAAAAAACGCCAGTTTGAGATATTGTGACCTGCGAAACTTGTGATTGCAAACAGGGGCCATAAACCAAAGAAGACTGTCCTTCCCGCCGTGGCTAACTACATTTCTACCGAGGTCACCATTTTCCAGGGCCGGCAATTACTACAACTGGGTTACCTTTCTGTGTTTCTGCGAAAATAGCAAATCATGCCGAAAGTAGGCGGCGGGTTATCTCTCGGAGGTGGGGCATTTCTCGAGATACTACGGTACGTTAATTAATGAAGATTTATGTATGAGACAAGCTTCATGAACTAAGTAAGCTGGCATTTGTCAACATGTAGTGTGTAGGAAAATTTTTGATGCGCAGATTAAACCTCAAATGCAAACTGAAAAAAAAAAAAAAAAAAAATATAGACCTAAAATTGCTTTTTGCGGATTGCAGGTGCTTTTCGGCAGCTGCGTATGGGCACCGCCATAACCAACCTTAATTTTTGTTTCTTTCTGTTTGCTTCACTTGATCACTGTGGTCGCACGACAAGTTGTTGACCTCTACAGTGTTTTTGTCTCCAAGGCAGGCTTTGTAAAGATTTGTCACATTCTTTGGCTGGCCATTTGGCGGCGAAGCAGCAGCCAGTTATGGTGGCACAAATTTTGCATGCTGGAAAAGCGTCTACACACTCGGTATGGACTATAGTCTGGAAAACATGGTTGTATATGGAACTTGGCTACTATGAATAACCTCCATCATCACCTTTGCCCCATTTGAAGTTATTCCCGTACCGGAGCAGCTCTATTCAACGGATGACACTCCCAAGACTGGCAAGCCACTTTGAAAAATGAATTTCTCTTACTACAGAAAGGCCTGTGTGCTGAGGGAATGGAAAGCTCCAGGAAAAGTGCTCTGCATTACTCTGGAAACAAGCAGTGGACTCAGCTACGCCCCATCAATTCATCAAATAGAAACACTTCACTGGACAAAGAAATTTTTGCCCAGTCAAGAAACATTTGACTGGAAAAAACAAAAAGATTTGACTGGACAGGTCATTTGACAAGGAAAATCAAAATGTGGAAGAATGTCAATGATTAATTTAATATGGAACATTTTCCGGCGTACAAGGCACATTGTTTTCTTCCAAAATTCCATTAAGCATTTCATTCACCAGTGCTGCGACTTACATGAACTTTTTCTTTTCGAAGTATGGACCTTAACCTCTAGACGGTCGTCGCCGTACATAGGGCAATGGCATGTTTGAAACTGCTCGCCTAAAGGCATAAGTGGGTGTACTGTGGGAGGTGTTGCTATTTGTTACGTCTTTGGCAAACTATAAACATTATATTTGCATGGTATCTAGTTTTACCGGGGCCATTTATAGCTTTCAAGTTAGACGCTCCGTGCACGTGATGCTCATTTCACATACCGGCGCAGCTCTGGCGGTAGTGCCAATGGGAGCACTGGCAGTTCTCATTTCGACTTCCAATGATATTCGTTTGGAATTAAATTCCGAGAATGAGAGCTCATCATCAGACCGAGCAGCTCTGCAAGTTATCTCCGGTTAAAAATCTGAAGCCGCCGGAATGGTGCGGAAGGGGGTGTGCCAAAATAAAACCCCATAAAAAAAGGTGACAACTTTTTGCCTTCAATATTTTCATTCGATGCTCGATTCTAAATTTAAGTAGCTTGCAAGCACTCTAGCGCTCCCGCTAGATAATTAAGAAAAAATCTGAGCCTTAGCCCTGCAAGATGTGGGCCGTGTTGAGATTTATGCCAAAGGAGGAAAGGGACAGCGCCTGCCATTGACCTGCTCTTCCGGCAGTCCGAAGATTGTCCGGAGCGATGCGGCATGGGTCCACGACTACAGCGGCTCTGTGCACCATTCTTCGCAACGCTCCATCACTAACGTAGGTGCAACTTGTAGACTGGAAAATACTTTGAGTCATTTGTTTGCAATAGGAATGAAACGCAGATGCGTGGCAAATATTGTTTCCTTTCCAAATTAAAATATGCATTACAGTCGAATCTCATTAATTCAAACTTGCACATAATTGAAAGTAACATGCAGTTCATATCCTGTGCGTCTCTATGGAAGGAAACTCCCGGTAATTCAGAGTTTGCTTTATTTAAGCAAGTTTTTGGTTCCCATCCAGTTTGAATTAACGGGATTCGACTGTATATATCAAACTAGTTTGATATATACAGTTTTTCTCATTATATAGCTCAGTCATCCCCTTTGTACTCGTGGCTGCCTAGTCATCCACGCACTAATCTTGCAGAGGCTCGTTCATGCAGCACCGTTTGTTTATGTTACCTTATATGTTACGAGAGGCTTCGTCAGCTTACGTCGAGTCACCGGGGAATCTGCTCTTTGTACAAGGCGTGGCAGCCAATACAAGGAGCACCTTTGCAGGCGGTATGCCAAGCACGGGTGTTTCGGCAACTCACAAAGTAATGTAAAAAAAACCTAAGTAGATGCCCCTGCGTGAATGGGCCTTCTCGGTCTGGGGAAGCACCCACTTTTGTAACGATTGGCAGTTATATCGTGTTTCGCGTCAGCTTTCCGAGGGCAACCGACGTTGATGGCCACTTGAGCTGACGCGTGGCGACAAAATCCGAACTTGGTTGTCCCGTGTTTTCTGCATTTTCCCCGAGAAAGAAGTCCCAAACGACCGAGCCTATCGCGCTAACCCAGGCGCACACTTGAGTCAGTCGTTGGTCCTAGGACTCCGGCGAAAAGCGATCAACCTCGACGTGTCCTGGTGAGATGCGGCACAAGGGCATGCGGCAGACACGATAATTGAGTGACCTCGTCTGGAGACTCTGTCTCATCGCAGCAGCTGCCATCCTACGATTTGGCAATGTTTTCTCGCAACTTTTAGCTCCCCACATTGTCTGGAAATTTAGACGACGTCGGCGATCAACTTGCCAACGCATCGACCGGCCAGTGTGGTTGATGAGCAAGCTCTATACTTGGTAATTTAAAGTGCAGCATATGCTACCACCCAATGGGACCAACCACAGAGTTCCAAAGCACGACACCTTGGCATTCGTCCATCTTCCAGACATGTTCTCTCATCGGCTAAAGCAATCGAGTACAGCAAACGTCCCGTGACTTGCGCTTTTAGCGTGTGTTCTCTTGGCTGCGTGTGTTCGAGCTTTCGACTGTGCTCCGACCCAAGATAAAACAAACTATACGCCGAGTAGAGACACTGCAAAATACATGTTTGTATCATTTGTCTTTACTCCTACTTCTTCAAATATTATAATCGACCGACGATAAAATATATATATATTTGTGTTTTGTTTCACTGAAGCCCAGTTTGGAGCAAATGTGGCGCAGCTCTTAGAAAAAAGGCCGCTTCGGCGCATAATGTAATGGACTTGCGTAGTTATTAGTGAAATCAAGTATGTGAATGCTAGGATCTACCGTAGAATACTGGGCATCCGCCCATTCCACACTAAGTGCCCATTCCCGAATTTGTAAGATCTGAGAAGTATGCACAGAACACTGATATGTAAAACTGATGACCGGACAAATGCCCATCCCCCATTTTTTCGCAATTATCTCTAAATCTTGAGTGGGCGCTTGCCCGGGTTTTTACGGTAGTCCTTTCTGAATTTCAGTGCATTCAATATAAAAAAGACTGTCAGAAAAAGATAACAGCGCAACTGAGGAAACAAAGAAAGTCTTTTAGATATTTGAGAGATCACCGAAGACAAAAGTTTACTACTATGTATGCAAAGTCAAAATGGAGAAGGGTATGTATATGGCAGAGTTGGTTTTATATTGCAGAGAATAAAAGTGCCCAAAAACACAGAGGACAAGTAGAAGGATGACATACAAAGGAGCTTTGTGGTGTAAGTCGTCCTTCTACTCGTCCTTTTGTTTTTTGGCGCTATTATTCTCACAACTCAGATTTTCTGGACATCCATCACTGGGAACGGATATCTGTTTCGAGCCTGGAAGGCAACGGAAGAGCATGTTTTTGGGAATAAGCATTAACCTCAGTTCCATGCAGAGAACTTTTCACTCAACTTTGAAACCAGAAAAGCAAAGCCGAGAGGGGCTCCACGTACCGATGGAGCCCGTGGCCACGCTGCGCACGTACGCCCGACGGCGCTCAAACCACCGGACGGGCTCTGGGAAGTTCTCGAAGAAGAAGTAGCGGAACACCGGGTGGAAGTGGCGGCAGACTTCCCGGTACGTGCTCAGCCGGTCCTCGGGAGGGCTCTTGGTCACCAACTGCACCAAGGAAACACGCCCCTTCTCCAGCAACAACCGACGACAGGCTGTTCTTGAAAGGACAAAACTTCGCTCCGACGCCTTCAAAAGCGGGGTTCCCCGTTTTCGGGGTTTATTCTTCTCCCAATTCGAAGCTGTTTTACTTCTCACAGATTCAATGTTCATTATCACTGGACAAAAAACTGACATCAATCGGGGCTCGTGCCGAAGCAAACCGGACACGGCTGTGGGGTTCTGCAACCCCTGGGGAACATGCGCGTGACCAAAATACGGTCCCGGTACCGATAAGAGGAGCCGAGTTAACGGATGCGGTTCCTGGGGCCCCATTTTGGTCAAGGCGAGAGCCAAGCGTTCTCGGCCTCCCATTGGATGCCACGGCTTGTGCGTCGTCGACCAATCAGACATCTCTGACCCATTTGCAAGTTCAAAATAGGGCAAAATCTGGCCAGACCGTCTCACTAACTCCCAGATAGAGAGAAAGGCTGATTGCGGCCTCCGATGTGCTCTTCCTTAGAACTTCTTCATCCACCGGTCGGCATCGGCTTCTGCGCAGCAGCAGAACAACTCCAGATTCTCAAAAGAAGTTAGGAAATGCTCAATGGCTTCCGAAGTGAAATAGCGGCTGTGATCACATTTACTGCCCGCGTCCGACCTCACTCCGCCACGGCGCTCAGTTTCTAGCAGGCGATAGACTTTTCATCGATATGTTAGCAGGAGACGTACGGTGTTTTCTCGTTTTATTTCTATCTGCAAATGGCGCTTCGTAGCGGACGAACTGCATTCTCTGCTCGTCTTAGAAATTGAACCGTCTTTAAATGCCACCTTCTCTCGCTTGGCGCGAGACAAATTAAATCTCGCTCTCGCAGTGACCAAAATTGGAGCCCCGAAAGAAGAAGAAGCGACCTTGCGCAAGACTCCACAAGAGCCACGTTCCTGATGAACGCAAAATAAAGCTGTCGGTAAAGATTCCTCTTCACTAGGCCTTTAGTGCAAATATCTTATTTTAGGACAGCTCCAATTTGGGATTTCTCTCAGATTTCCCGAGATTTTGATAAAACCGGCTCGGCCACAATCACAATCTCTGGGCTTATCGGTATATGCCGAAAACACGAAACCCTGTTTATGAGCAACGTGCCAGACCTCCAGACAGTCCACTGCACAAGTCATATCTTTCTAAGTGTTTGGCATGAGAACCGAATGTGTGACACTGAAAAAAGTTTGCCGGGTAGTGATGATCCAGTGTGACATACCGTAAAATACCGGGCAAGCACCCCCTCAAAATTTAGAGATAATCGCAAAAAATTGGGGGATGGGCGCTTGTCCGGTCATCAATTTTACATCTAAATGTACTGTGCATATTTTCTCACATCTTAAAAATTTGGATATGGGCGCTTAATGTGGAATTGGCGGATGTGCGGCATTCTACGGTATGCACAAAGCTCGAAAATGATGATGCCAAATCTTGTACGGCAATTTCACATTAACTTCGAGCCTTGTATTTTGCAGCCTCGTTAGACTAATTTTTTTTTTTCATGCCACGAAGTAAATATTTGTAGGTACCATGTATGTGTTTGTCACATATCTTCCAAGGTATATACAGAGGAGTTAGGTTGTTTTGAATTTCACAAGGCACTTACTCGTTCTCTGCCCAAATGTTTGTAACTCTGTCGAATATTGAACTGCGGTCAAAAAGGAACTTGTCAAATCAAATATGAATTGCATATTAAAAATATTCTACAAATATTCAAACTATTTGCTCACCCCTAGTGATTGGTTGTTACAAGGTTCCTATGTTCTTTTACCGCATTCCCCCTGAAAAACGTGTCAAACGGGTTCTCCTGCAGAACAAAATTGCTAAAGTTTGTCCCATGTTAAGACTTCCCACAACTACACATTCGAGGTTTCTTTAAATCAGTGTATTTTCAGTGTTTTAATAGACGTCAAAAATTGTTTCATGAGTTCTATTAATTTTACAAATAAAATGACTTCAAGAAAGGGGAAAACCCCGAGTGCAATCATTTCTCAATCGGCAGTTTTCCCGCAGAAACAGGCCAGATTATGTGTGGCAAGTAATTTTTCTTCACTATATAGGGCCTTTCTGCAGCATGTTTTTGTAAAAATTGATCTATGCGCAAGTTCCTTCTTAGAAGCCTTTAAACCCAATGCAACTAGGTCCTTCAAGTCCTAGAATTTGCCACAGATGCTGTACGACAGAGAGCACTCGAAACTTAACTGTGGCACTGCCAGCAAATTTGGCACAATTTGTCTGCTACCTCCAAGGTTTGGACAAAAATTGCGTATCTCTGCTCTGTGCTTTGAACTATGGTGACACATGTAAAGATTTCTGTGTCCGTGAATCTAAAGTATCTAGGTGAATCTACCGTAGATGTGTTGTGCGTGCCAACGCTTATTTTTGCACCTTTGGTGGGCAAAGGTTTTCTAAGTGTTTCGATACCCACAGCAACATGCAAAAAACACATTATTAGAAAATCGGAAAATTTTGAAATTGTAAATATGCGAAAAACAGTCTCCGAAAAAAGTTTATCACCCAAAAAGCACACAGAAGGGAAGCCAATGACGACAATGTGCCCCCTCACAGGCGCAGGGAAGCCCCCCTTTGGAGTTCCACCACCGAGTTGACCTACAGTCGGTTACAAGTCAAGAAGAAGGTAGGAGAAGCTCCTCCCACAAGCGTGATGCGCCCGTTTCAAATCCCTCCGCAGTTGAAAAAAGAGTTCACTGGAAACGCTCCTTGTTCCGCTCCAATGGATAGACAATGGCCACAGAGTGGTGCCAACTTGTCTTTGAGCCCCACTTTTTAAGAAAGCGACCTTTGTATTCATCAGAGGGGAACCGAGCCCCTGAAAGTAGCCTTTGTATCCGTCGGAGGGGGAACCTAATCCCTAAAAGTCGTATTAGTTTCCATCGGAGGGAGAAAACTTTAATCTCCCTCTCGTGGCTTCCACAATGCTAAGTCAAAGTCGAAAGATAAAGAAAATATGTAGAGAAAGGCAAGACCCTCCTCGCGCGTTGGCCGCGACGTCACAGAAACGATGAGACGCTATTGGATGCGGAGGTGGCGGAGGGATATAGGATTCCCTTTGAGGGGCATTTGCCGCTACCTTCTTGACCTGTCACTTAGTACTATAACAATTTTGCTCCAGCCCGTGGGCACTGACAACGGAGCCCAAGGGAGCGGGGCGCAGGCAGGCCCACCTGCATGGCCTTGCGGCACTCCATGGCTGTCCAGTCTCGGGGCTGGTAGCGCAAGTGTGCCCCAGACCGGGAGTTCAGCAGGAACTCAGCAAAGGGCTGGGTGCCCTTGCACCACTGCACCAGGCCACTGCGCCTGGACAGGGGAACCACCTGCGAGGCCGGATAGAGTCGCCTGCTATACGACTCGCTGCACGCAAATCACAAATACACTTTCAGTGAAAAGTACCGGGCGTTCTTGAGAAGAACCATGTTTTTCAGCCCGCATAAATAAAAAGTAAAAGAGAAAGACCAAATTTCTCTACCAGTTGACGTCTACCTAAGCCTTATATCATCAAAACAAGAAATGGCATTGTGGGCGCCTTTAAAATTTATTGCGCTGAAAGAAGAAAAAAAAAATCTTATCACCAAGAAAGAAAGCTATATTCTCTTTCTTGCTGCCAAGCATTTTTCGCCAATATAAATGCCTCGTTTGTCCATAACAAGAATTCTTGTTTAGACAATACTATTAGGTTTAAGTGGATGTTGGACCGTAGAGAAATTTGGTCTTTATCTTTTGGTCTAGGTAATGCCATATTCTCAAACTTTCACTCTATCCATCCCAACAGAGTTTCAGCTGCTTGCAATGCGTAGTTTATACGCACCGAAAAACAAAGTCTTTTTACAGCAGAGTTGTAAAAAGACTTTGTCTGTGGACTAGTAAATCTCGATCGACACAAAGCTTTGGACAGCTACCGCCATCGCTTATAGACGGTGGCAACCTTTCCAGCCTTTCCACACTGGTTTTCACCAGAGGGAAAAGGATGAATTTCCCTAAACGTCGTCATAGAAGTCGTCCTTAAAATTGTTCTAGACGTTGTCCTGGAGGTCATCCTAGAAGTCATACTTGAGGTTGTCCTAGACGTCGTCCTTGAGGTTGTACGCTAGACGTCGTCCTAGGCATCATCCTCGAGGTTGCCCTAGACGTCGTCAATGAGGTGGTCCTAGGCGCCGTCCTCGAGGTCATCCTAGATGTCCTAGACGTCGTCCTTGAGGTTGTCCTAGACGTCATCCTTGAAGTCGTCCTAGACGTTGTCTTTTAGGCATCATCCTCGAGGTCATCCAAGAAGTCGTCCTTGAGGTCGTCCCACCATAGTACAGCTCGACTGGTTTTCCTTGTTTACAAGAGTGGAAAGGCTAAAAGTGTTTTTCCTTAAAAACACTCGGTATGTGTCAGATGCCATGCAGATCCTGTATTTACAAGATCGCAGGCCAATCAATTTTTGCCCAATTGGAAGGAGGACGTCGACCTACAATCGTAGCCGAAACCCTCCAGCACAAAGAAAGTCAAAAAGATAGAGGAACCAGAAGCACTCCGGTTTGATTAGAGTAATCCTATCTCCACTGCAGCTCTAATTAAAGATTGTGCCATTCCGGAGGTTCGTTTTAATAGAGTTTTAACCCTAAGCTTGAATTCTCTCATGTACGTAGTGGAAGCAAACGCAATAAATGCAGCGAGGTCTAAACACGAGCAGCAGGGCAGTGCTCCCCTCTTTCCAAAGCTGCTCTTTTCCGAAGGGTCCGAGAGCTCATGGGCGACCTGCGTTTGGGGTTTCGTGTCTTCCTACAGCTGTCTGGTCGTTTGCACTCTATAACCTTGGTGCCTCTGAGGCTGGGTTTAGTGTTTCACATTAGAACTCTGCCGAGCAACCGACGTTGGCTGCGGATTAAAGTGGGTGCTCACGGCCACAAAATCTTTCTTCTCAGAGTCTCTGACCAGAAAGAAACCAAGCCCTCCCTTCTGCCACGATGTTGCCAAGGTGACGCGACTGGTGCGACGGGACAGAGCTCGTCAACTACGTATCAGCATCAATTTTCCCCAAGAAAGCGTCCCGGCATTACCCAGAGCCAAACAATTGGCAAACAATTATGCTTTATTTTAAATACTTTCATTTTGACAATTTTTGGTGAATATTTTTTTTTTTTTTTTCAGATATTAGAATGTTTTCCGGAAATAAATAAATAAATAGGTAAATACTTATGACCTTGCTGCAAATTTCATTTCTAAAAAAGGGCTCAAATTCCACTGAAAACATACTACCAGGAATGCAAACCAAACATTAGCTCGTTTTGCTACTCCTGGGTTCGTTAGAAATGGGTTCAACCGTGTAGTATCCCCTCGATGAAGTTCATTTATCAAAAAAGCGATGAATAATTTTTTCACATTCTAATTTCAAGTTGTAACTTAGACTAGTTGACGACGCAAATCAGCGTGAAAAATGGGCCACAAAAAGAAGCAGGCAGATTAGTGAAGAAAATTAATGAGTTGTGGCAGAGTGCACCCCACACACCTTGTAGGTGCGAACTCTGAGCTTGCCTGCCCCCTTGTGGTGGCCGTCCTGTTGTCGCAGCAGCTGGTTCACCAGCTCAAAGGCTTGCTGCATCACCGCATCCTGCCTCAGGTCGTCCCGACCCTGCGGAGGGCAACGCATTTGTAGCAACAGCCGTGTGCATGTGCTCACAAGCTCTTGCAACGGAGGTGCACATCATCTGCTACCTCTGGTTGTTAGACAAAACTTGAAACAAAATACAACCATGGTCGAAGCCGTTCAAAACCTGGAAAGGAAGCTCACGGAAGCATTGGACTGGTTCTCGACATTTCGTAATGAGCACTTTTTCGGGGTCCTGGGGTCCTGGAGAGCTTAAGTTTCTTATTGGCAGGAAGCCACCCTGAAGCTTTTTTCCTTTTCTGAGTATTTAAAAAATGCACAATTGGTCCTAGTTTTTACCTTTTTTGAGTTACATTATAAGACTTTAGCGGTTACGAGAACAAATCTCGAGTCTGTAATCATAACAACAACAAAATGTTGGTAATCTATAAAAAAAAAAAAAAAAAAAAAAAGCTGTCAGTCTTGTTTATATGCTTATCTAAATTAAAACCAGTGTGTCGAACCGAAAAAAATATGGGTTCGGTTACGGTTCAGGTAAATTAATTTTGTTCCGGTTCAATTAATTCGATTTGCAAACCGGTTCGGGGTGCTGAACCGGTTCGCGAACCGGTTCGGAAATTATAAATGACAAATTGCAACATCAAAATAAATTACAAATAAAACATCTGAAATCAGCACATACGAAACGGGATACATCGGAGTGTAATGCTCAGGGATTTCTACCAGGAATGGTTTCTTTATGTGCACTCAAAGGTTACCTCACCGACGTTTACGCATTCGGACTTCATCTAATTCGGTCCGACGCAATAGCTGTAAAATCCGCGACCTCCTTACAAACCCACTTACAAGTAGAACTCGCTAACTATCCCGCCACCTCGGCGTGTAAGCAATTGAAGGAACAGTGGGGAGAAAATACAGCTTTCTTTATTTGAACTAGCCTTCGGTAACTCAAATTAGACCCTTAAAGAAGTTTTCATTAAACAAGATACGGAATATGAAAGACACTTCACCGAACGCAACGCCAGAAGGACGTAATAGGATAAATATTAAAATAGAAGAGTTCGTTGTCTCACAAATATGTTAGCTTCTAAGTGCCTATACGAAACCGGATGCATTATTATCAAACTCCAGAGCCTTTTCTTTTCTCATTCCGATGGAAGCAAGCTTCAAGAACTCGCGCGTTCTAGAAACGTGTTATGAAATGAGCACACAGCAGCATTTAGGATTTACGAGATTGAAAAAAAATGAAATCCCGTGACGCGATTTTTTTTTTTTTTTTTGCACAGCCTTTTAATTCTCTTTCTTCCGTGCAAGCCGCGACCAGCGCAATACTGGTTCCTATGTCAAGATTCATAGATGCAGCGTTTGTCAAGATTAATGGATGCAGCGTTTATATTCCTAAGACTGAGTGGAGAAGAAAAATATGTAAGCAAGGTGTGTGTCAGTTGACGGCACTTAAAAAACAAATGGCATCGACAGCACATTCATTGTCAACAGCGCGTGGCCGAACCGTTTTGACATGAGCCGGTAACCATTATTTTTTTTCCGGTTCAGGTTCATCGCGATAACAATATAACGGTTCGGGTTCAGTTCCGGAAAAAATACCGGTTCGGTTCCGGTTCGGTTCGGTTCCGGTTCGACACCCTGATTAAAACTATAGAAATAAACGAGGAGTTAAACAACATGCGGGACAATATATACCAGATTGGCCGAAGGAACAGCTTGGGAGTTTTATCGGCACATAAATTAAACCACATCCAATACTGCTACCACTTTACTGGAAGGCAGTGCCAACAAGGATGACGGATCGGCAAGCTCCAGCCCAACACATTACAAGACTAAAGTTAGCGGAAATTTTCTGAACCCTCGCACGGTCGGGTTTCTTTTTCCAAAAGATGCGTCCTGCTGGTCGAAATTTTTTCCCAAAGGATTGTACCCCTTCAAGAATCGAAGCGATCTTGGCGGCCAGATGCTACCTGAAGCATCTTGGGGTGGGCAACTAAGTTTCTGTTTCGATTTGCCGACCTCACTGCACGACATCCCTTCACGACCAAACACAGTGCGTGCATTTTCAAACATATGACTTTCCTTAACTGCACAGTCCTGTAGGTGTTGTCGACCAATGTGGATAGAGTGCTGGGGCACTTTTTGGGGGCTCCCAGCGTACAAGAGTTTGTGCGAAGGTAAACACAGGAAGAAGCGTACTGAGCAGATCACCCGGTCCCATCGTCTGAATGTCCAATGCACTCTGGAGTTGTAACCAGGCTGCTAGAAAGCTATGGGACACGGCCGGCTGTACTCCTACTCGCTAAGTTTAGGCAGGTCCTTCCTGCTGCTGCAAGTCCGTGTTTCAACGGGGGCTCTCACCAAGATGAATCGGTGCAATGAGAGCGAGCGCCGACTTTATTTTTATGCAGTATCGAAACCCTATCATGTCACTCCTTGCCATGACCAACCATGTCCCAGCTAGAGGTTGGAGCACTATGAATGCATTTTTCTCCGTTCCACTTTTTGGCACAAATTTCAGTTTAGGAAAATTGTCATTTAGTAATGGAACAAAAGGAGACTCACTCATGGTTTTTCCTAACTGGAATTTAATGGGCAATGCAACTGTGGAATTGTTTTCTTACTTTGTGGATGTCTTTTATAGAACAGGGTGTCTAGCAAATTATTATTTTGAAATTCCCCGACTTTTCCAGGTTTTCCCTGACAATTTCAGGTGAAATTCCCTGACCACTGTAGAGTCCCGACATCGTCAGTGAAGAGGCCACTCCCGCAAACATGATGAAAACACGACGCTCAACCACACACGACAATAACTGAATGACAGCATGGCCGCCAGATGCATACTTTCGGATACTTTCGGCTGAAGGCTTGGATTGGATTAGGGTCTACGGCTTTCCCATTTGTTACTAAATCTAGTATGGTAGTTCTAACTGGATTTAGCCTACTGTTGCGCACTCAATCCAATTCAATCCAATACAAGGCTTGGACTGGATTTGTCGGCTGTTCTCTTTGCGTCGGGTGAGCAGAGCTCGCGCTCCGCTCTAAGCAGAATTTATTGCATATTTTACTAACCCCAAGTCCTCAAGCCTTCGCTCAAGGCGCTCTATGGCATTTCCAGCTCATTTTTCCTGACTGGGCTTGCTTTTTGATAAAAAGACTGAAGACTGTTGTTGAAGTCTAATGATCCCTATTTGGCTCTGTAGCTATTTGGCTTACAGGGACACCCCGGGACAACTAGGGAGCACGCCAGCGGAGCTGCTCATGAGTCGGCGGCTCCGTACCACGCTTCCACTCCACCCAAAGAAACTGGCGCCAAGTACGCCGAACCTGAAGGAGGTCCGTCAAAACGACACGCTCCTTAGGGATACGCAACGCCGCTTCTATAACAACCGCCATGCGGCACGTCACCTGCCTCAGTTAAAGCCCGGTGACGTGGTCTGGGTGAAAGAACGCAGACAGAAGGGCGTGGTCCTTCAGCCGGCCACGCTCGTATGTGGTAGAGTTGAGGCACGGTTGCCCAATTGAACCGAAGAGCCCCGGTCCAATTTAAACAGGAGAGGGGAAGTGCGGAAAATAGTGACTGCTACGAGTTTCCAGAAGTGGAAACTGACAGCTGCCCAAGGGCAACGTGCCCCAGTCGTCCCGGTTCACCAATCGGCCAAAACAGTCCGAGTCAAGGACACGAGCCTAGTGTTCCGTTGCCTGCTGTCCCTGCGGTCTATACGACGCGATTTGACCGGGTAGTGCGCTAGCCTGAGCGGTACGAAATTTCTAAATAAAGTCCGCGTGTCCCCGATAAAAACGAATATAATATATTTTACAATTCATGTACTCAGATGAAACTTGGCACTGCATTCTGCCTCGCAACGTACATATATTGTAAATTTCATTCATATTAGGCCAAAGGTTCAAAAGTTGACCCTTTTGGGTAGTGTCCCCCCTTAATCTAGGCTCTCTACACCGACCAAACGCAAACTTGAGCTCGGTGCCGTGCGTGCTTCTTTGTTCGCTTCATGTTCCGTGTCGGCGTGCACGCACACGCCTTCCCCATACAAAAAATTCAAAGCACACGACACAGATTTAAAGTAAATCTGTCTTGTCTGCTAAACAGCTCTGCTGGTCATCCACCTTCACAGAGTGGAATGACTCGTGATTTTTTTTTTCACATCATTTTTATGGAGTCTAGATATAACAAAGAATGGGATATAGTGAAGTGGTTTCTGATACCCCTTGACTACGTTATAACTAGGGTTCCGCTTTTCCGGTTTTTATTTTTTCGAAATTCGGCATACTTTTTTCGGTGTTTATTTTAAAATTCGATTTTAGCTTTTTTTTTTGGTGTATATTTATTCCAAAATAAGTTTACCGTTTTTTTTTTTCGGTGAATATAAAAAAAACACCATCGAACACAGGATTACATGATCCTATAGCTGTGACATTTGTGATCACTCGGAGAATAACCACACATATCCATACGTGGTCTTCGCTACAACTTCCGTCGGGACACACCTCAAAATTGACGAATTCGCGGGAATAATAGACCGATCTCACCAAGCGTTCGGCGCATGCGCGAGGCTGCAATAACTTTAGTTCACAGGAGGCAATCGGCAGTGCACGAGGCTGCTTGTGCTCTGCGCACGCAGAGCTACAGTGAGGTTGTCGCACGAGCAGAAAGACTAAAGTTCCCTCGATGCAATGTGGCAGCGGTGGCGTAGTCAAACTGGCTGGTGAGATCGGTCTATTTTCCAGCGCTCTCCTTTTCCTTCCTATTCTGACGACGTGACCGTCTGAGGTGATGACCGCACAGAAACCAGCGGAATGGCAAAAGAAAATATCCAATGTAGTTGTGTTTTTAACCAAAGGGAGGGTGTTAAGAAAGGTACTAACGGCTTTCCTCGATGACCTCTGAAGTGCATGAAGCGAAAAACCTTATGCTAGCCCCCATCCAAACTTTTTTTTGGGGGGACCGGGAACTTGACAGACTAAGCCCGATCACAGAAAAGACACAGTTGTCCCTCGAAGGCCAATCCAAGACCTCTTTTGTCGCATGTTGAACCTTGGAACAGGGCAATCACGAAGACGTCACACAATGTCGAACCTTGCAGAACTCCCTCTCTCTTCCTCCCCCACCCACCTTGACGCGGCACTAAAAGACTGACCTTTTTCGGTTAAAACTGAATTTTAGAAAACGAATTAGACATACTTTTATCGGCTTTTATCGCTTTAAACCAAAAACGCCAAAACTACAAACTGACCTCTTTCGGTTAAAACCGAATTTACGAAAATGAATTTGGCATACTTTTATCGGTTTCTATCGGTTTAAACCGAAAATTCCGAACCCTAGTTATAAACGGTCTCGATACTAGTCTATAAATACAAAAAAAAAGGAAATCAATATGCAGGTTTTTTAAAAAAAGAATTATCTATTAGGAGCACATGCAGTGCTTGCAATTTATCCAGATTGAGAAGCATAGAATGGAAATATTGAGGGTGCAACGTTGTCGTCTTTTGTTCGGTTCCATACTCCCGCAACATTCCAACAGTCTCAGACTCCAAACCAGTGGTGCTTTGCAGAGCTACTGCACCAGATGACGAGCTCTCATTCCCCAAATTAAATTCTGAGAACAGTTCAAGTCCGAACTGGAAGAAACGGTGCTCCGATTGCAAGTACCCCGAGAGCAGCCAACACATGAAGCGATCATCTCGCGCACATCTCTTGTTCGAAATGTCTGGTTTCGGAACTATAAACTGCGTCAGCAGAACGAAACACACTGTGAATACAAAAATTGTAGTTTCTCAAGGAGATAACTTAGCAGCACCTCCTAGGATTTGCGCAGTTTCCCGCTTAGGTAGGAATCGCTGCCGTACATGCATGGCGGCAACCGTCGAAGGGTGAAAGGCTAAAAGTGAGAGCAGCGGTTTTCACTAATAGCCCACATGAGTCTGCAACTTGACGCTGCGCTCAAATCAACCTCTAAAGAACTCAATTAGAAAATTTAAAAATTTATAATTTTTTCACAGCCCACTTTGTTGTAATTTTAAACACTTCGATGCAGAAACTATGCCCATATCAACCCAATTTTAATTTCTGCCCCGATCCCCTGGGTTAAGTAATATTTCCTCGAGTGGCAGTTCCTCGGCCTTCCTTGGCTAGCAGTCCAAGGAGGGCCGAGGTTCGTTTCAAGTGGGACCCACCTTGACGAGCTGCTTGTAGGAGTGGCCGTCCTGCCCGACGCATGTGACCACCTTGGGCATGTTGATACCGCCGCACAGCTGGTAGCGGGGCTCGAACCGCGCAATGCCCCCAATGCCCGAGTAGCAGCAGCTGCGGTCCACCTGCAAACAGGCTCCCCAGTGTCAGGCCCCTTGCTTTGCACTGCATTGCGCACAATATGTGCGGGGCTAGGGAACAAAAATGTCCCCGAAAAGAGTAACCAAAGTGTAATGCAAAAGGGTATAAAGTGCGCACTTTCACCGTTAAACTTGGGATCTGGACAAAATGATCCCGGACAAAATGGTCTCCATCAAAACGGCACCAGACAAAATGGTCCCAAGCGCCAAACCGGACAAAATGATCCCAGGTATATTTGTGGCATTCTGAATTTACTCGAATATAAGTTGACCTCCAATATACAGGGTGTCTAGCAAATTATTATTTTGAAATTCCCTGACTTTTCCAGGTTTTCCCTGACAATTTCAGGTGAAATTCCCTGACCACTGTAGAGGCGGTTAAATATATAAGACCATTACAACAAGAGGCATTGAGCATTGTGAGGATCATTTTGCACAAGCTTAATCCGACTTGCATATTCGGGTTCGTCGAGTCAGGATTAAATGAGCACTTTTTTGCCGCCGACGTCGTCAGTGAAGAGGCCACTTCCGGAAACACAATGAAAACACGGTGCTCAATCACACACCTTCATAACCGAATGGCAGCATGGCCGCCAGATGCACACTTTCGGATATTTTCGGCTTAAGGCTCGGATTGGATTGGGGTCTGCGGATTTCCTATTTGCTACTAAATATAGTAGCTCAGACCTGGATCTAGCCTAGTGTCACGCCCTCAATCCAATCCAAGGCAAGCCAAGGCTTCGACTGGATTTGTCGACTGTTCCCTTTGAATCGGATAGCACACACTCTACACTGGGTGAGCAGAGCCAGTGCTCTGCTCTAAGCAGAATTTATTGTAAACTTTTTTGCCCCCAAGTTCTCAAGTCTTTGCTCAGTGCACTCGATGGCATTTCTGGCCAATTTTCCCTGACTGGGCTTGCTTTTTGACATTATCTCTGACAATTTCCCAATATTTTCCCGGTAATTAAAATTTCCTTGACAATTCCCAGTTTTCCCGGTAGCCAGACACCCTCAATACATGTAGATGTCTTTAAATTAAACTTGCCGGGAAAAAACAACAAAAAAACATATAGGTTAATTTTTTTTTTCTTTTTTAAAGAAGAGAGGGAGGTTTGGGCAAAAGAAACAAACAAACCTTTATTTACAGCACTCTCAGTTAAATCACAGCACGATGCGAAGAACATGATCATTGTCAGAACTTCCGGACATGTCATCATCGTTAAAAGCTTCGTGGACATCCTCCCAAACTCACCAGGATAGCTCACTTACACCGTTGCTAGTTGCTAAGTGGTGACAAGGAACGAAAGGTGGAGGAAGACTAAGCGACGAAAGGCCAAAACAAAAGAAAGACGCGAGCCGCCACAAGCGGCAAGAAGCGAAAGTAACCTCCGTATTTTGTTTTGCTGCGCATCCACGAGGGGGATGGGGAAAGGTGCGTGGTGAAGCATGGCGCGATTTGGGCCGTTGGGCACGTCGCGTCCCACTCACTCACCCTTCCCCCTTGTGCTGCAAGGGGAGTCTGCGAGCGGCGCTGGTCACATACAGGCACGAAACCCAACGGCCGAAAGATGTGTGCGAGCGGCGGCTGGTTGCCAGCTGCTGCTCTTTGGCTGTTTTCGTGCGCCAAAAGCTTTCCGAAACAAGAAGCGGCGCTTCGGCAATGCCCGCTCGATAGCCCCATGCGCTCGGTAGGGTAGCAAATTTTGATCACAAATGTGGGTCGAAATCTTCTGGTCCCAATTATAAGTTAACCCTCAATTTTTGGCCGAATTTAAAAAAAAAATATAGGTTGACTTATATTCAAATAAATACGGTAGTTCGCTTCATGCAAATTGAAAATATAGAAAAACAAAAGTGTAACTAACCATGTAAGTTATGAGACATCAACATTTTAAAGTTTGTATATTATTCTATCTAAACCACACTGCATGCCAGTAGCTGAGTCAAGGAGAAGAGAAAGCCATGCTATAGAAATAATATACAAATACATACCGTAAAATCCCATAAGGACTCCCTCCCTCGAGAGATCACCCCTCCCGTTTTTCTGCCTAAATACCCTATACTCTCACTTGAGCAAACATCAACGGACCCAAACATATAGTTCACTTAACTAAGTTCACTAAACTGAATATATTCACTAAATATGAAACAGCATAGGGCACAGCATACATAGAGTCAAAAGTGTAAAACGCAATTTATGGAGTCATCTACATTGATATATACAAAATGCATAACAGTTACGTTGCTCTTAAAGCGCATCAAGTAACAAAGCTGTACAGAGAGTCTGTTTTTTTGCACTTCCTCCGACACAGCTTATTGCTGTGATGAAGCCATACCACAATGGCATCACCCAATGGCTCGAAATGCCCCATGCAGAGTCGTTTCCTTTTGGGATTGAACGCAGTTTCTCCTTCAAGCTTCGACTTTTGCTTCACTATCGGTGACAACGCCAACGGTGGAATCCCGTAGTGCTTCGCAACGTTCACTTGCTTTTGGCCGCTGTCCAGACGCTGAAGGATTTTGAGCTTGTCTGATAGAAACAACCGCTTCCGTTTCGTCCTACTTACTACGAAAGCAGGCGCACAGACTGCCGTTGTTACCCAAAACAAACGTGCCCGAACGGAACCGATGACAAAGAAAAAACAGACACTCCACGTGGTTCGTTTTCGTCTACCGCACCGCCGCTTTGCCTTGGCGGCGCTGTAAACGCCAGCGATGATGCGCTGCCTCTACAGAGGCGGCAGCGGCATCGACTACGCCAGCACTGCTGAGCGCAAAACTTGGTTGAATCGATTGCAAAAATAATCCTGGGTCCACCGATCAAGTTCGTTGAACTGAAATATTCGCTATTCCGAAATTCGTTTAACTGAAACATTTTGCATAAAATGCATAGGAAAACCACCGAGGACTTTTTTTAAGCTCGTTATTCTGAAGTAGGTTAAACCGATCTTTGCTCAAGTGAGAGCTTACTTTGTTCGTAACATGAAAATTCAAAACATTGCCCTACCACCCCCGTTTCTCGTCAAACGTCACACTATGTCCGACGGAAATTGCATTAACCGCACAATCAGCAGTACCGGTACATCTGACAAGTGAGTTCGTAGTGCGTTCCCGTGTTCCTGTCTGCAATCTGCGCGCGCAATATCGGTTCCCGTTACACGTGGGTTGTTCCCGCGTGTATACAGTCAAACCCGTTTATAACGAACTCCGTCAGACACAGATTTTAGTTCGATATATCCAGTAATTCACTATATCAAAACAGGGCCTACCGCAAATTTTGAGGTCGGGGCCTCGTAATGAACAATTATTTTCTTGACATTACGGAAGACATGGGTTAATGCATATTGCAAAAAACATTTATGACCTGCAAAAACGTAACCAATAACACTCTAGACAGGCTAACAGCTAGAAAAAAAAAAGCTTTCAATCTCTTTTTTTTTGCGAGGACGTTTGCAGAATCTGAGCCCCCTGGAGGGCGAAAAGAAAAAAATATTTTACCAGTTTAGCCGACCGCGAAGCCTTTTTGTTTGGGCTTAGATACACTATCTGCAGTAAGACAATCGTGACCTTGAAAGAAATGGAGTCTTGCTCCCGTAAAGCCAGAGTCCAAACAAAACCAGCGAAACCGTACAGAAACCAAAAGAGATCGCACAGAGCAGCCGAGCTGCAGAGAGGATTACTGGTTGCAGACGAACGCCGCGAATACCCCACGATCGCAGGCAAAGTTCAATGATTGCAAAAATCTGTACTTTGTGCCAAGGAATAATTTCCAGCTTGTCAAAGAACAACAAAGACCGTTGCCATTTCCTGTGCGAACTGGATTACCACGTGACACTCAAACCAAAAAGAGAGCTAACAAACAAAACATAGCAAGCGGTGGCTAGCAAGCACCCCCCAGAGGTCTCTGAAATTTCGCAATCGGAGAGCACTTGGCAAGGAGAAAAACAAACTTCGAGTGGACACTGCTCCCAACAGTGTGTCCTGACCTTGAGTTTTTTTTTTTACAGCGGAGCTGTTAAGGGCTAGATACCCGAGGATCGCCACTACAAAAGCAAGGACCAGACCCGGCCAACATCAGAGGGCTCGGCACTCACCCGACGGCCAGCATGGCTAAATTTCCGCAACTACTTCTGCAGGTGATGCCGATACTATTGCAAACGCCATCCAACACGCCATTCACGGTACCCGAGGACAGCATCGGACAACAACAAGTCATCATCCGCCCCCATTGGCTGGATTTTCATCTTGGGCGCGAAACGTCATCCACCACGCCACTACAAAAGCAAGGACCAGACCCGGCCAACATCAGAGGGCTCGGCACTCACCCGACGGCCAGCATGGCTAAATTTCCGCAACTACTTCTGCAGGTTTGTTTACAATACAAGTAGCACAGTTATAAAAATAGCTACAAATTTGTGGTGATAGTGCCGTGCCCTCAAAAGTGTTTTGCCATTTTGTGTGATTGCTGGCGTCGGTTAATGTTGTTGCTGCTTTCTGGGGACGTTGAATCGAACCCAGGACCATTAACAATAGATCAGAAGTTAGAAAAGATTTTGGAAAATCAGGGCCAGATGAGTAAGGATCTTCAAGAAGTTAAAAGTGGTCAAGCAAATCTTAGGCAAGAAATGCATAATATTCACGGAAAAATTAATAAACTGGAAAATGCAATGTCAAATATTCAGAGCAAAATGGTGAAAGTTGATAGTCTAAAGGAAGTCTTTGCAAACCTAGAACAGACAGTCAGACAGCAAAGTGAAAAGCTAATTGACCTAGAAAATAGAGGAAGGCGAAATAATCTACTTATATTTGGCTTACCCGAAAAACACAACGAAAGCACTGAGGAACTGAAGCGAACCGTAACGAAAGATGTCTTCCTGGAGACTCTCGGCATCACAGTAACTTGGATTGAGCGAATTCACAGACTGGGACGTAAGCGCGAGGAAACGAATAGACCGGTCATCATAAAGTTCTTGGACTACAACGAG